AGCAAAGAAACCCGAGAAAGCTGTGCAGGCACAACGATGCTGAAGAGCCGACCATCAGCCTGTCGAAGGTCAACAAGGACATGGCATCTGTCGGCAGCCCACTCTGGCAAAGACAAAATGCACGCAAATCGATTGTCAGGCTGAGGCTCTACAGGAAGAAGTGTGTCGAAGTAAAGCGATTGATCCTCATTCCTGGCCTCCTGAACCTCATTGAGGGCATCGTCTGGGTCACACGGGACCCGCAAGACAAGAGGCAGCACCTCAGCTCGATAACGAGGTGCGAAAACAAGGAAGTGACCGTGGAGGAAGGTCGCCGGTGGTACACCCTGTGGCCTAGCTTTGGCAAAGACAGTGGGCGGTGGCACATGCGCCTCGTCGTCAAACCGCGCAGGAGGGTGAACCGGTCTGTCTTCATCAATCGCTCTCTGCCATGGGACACCCTGGCTGCCTCCAGGCGCATGGTAGGGGTTGCGCATGCTCGTGGCTGCACCTGAGACGGAGGAGCCACCTTCATAAACATCTGGGTCAAAATGTGGAGTAGGCTCAAAATCGACTTTAAGCACTCCACCGGTGTGCACACGGAAGGTAGACTCTATCTTTGGGAGACCGCAGAGTACAGGCCTGTACCCTCTCGGAGGTCGGAGGTTCAAAAACTGCAGCAAGTCGGCTTCTTCGACATGACAGTGTGCTGAGTGGTAGGAGGTCGGTCTTCTGCCAACCGGCCGACAATCAATGACGATGATTGTCCCGGAACCAGCAGCGCCGGGGTCAGACAGAGAGCCGGTCCAGGCAGCAAAGACGCCAGCAAGCAGAGCCCCCTGGTGGACAAGCGGGTGGAAAGCTGTCTTATCAGGCTTGCAGAGCAGGAGGTTCTCCTCACGACAATGCAGTGCGCTGGCTGCATGAGACACAAGGGTCTCTTCTGACGGGCCGGGGTGAAGAATGTCTCGATCGACACTCGGTGCTACAATGAGCCAGGAGTCAGAGACCTCCTCACTGACAATCTGGCGAACCTCAGCTGTCAGAAAGTCAGGGGCCTGTAGGCAGTCGGCTGCAGCGGGATGCCAGAAAGGCCTGCCGTAAACAGCGACAAACTTAATGGTATCCCCGGTGACAACCCTTATGCTTCTATCTGACCTAAGTGGGTCAGGGCACCCAGTCTGGAAAGCATCCCACGGAGAAACAGTGTGCCGGCTGGCATGTTCAAGAACTTGCGCGTGAGGGAGATTACGCTCTACAATCACAGCGTAGACTGGGCCACCAACAGCTGCAAAGTCGAAGATGATTTCAGCAAACGCAGAATGTTCCAGCCATTGTGGAACAAGGAGAAGCGACACGTAACCCTCCTCTGGCTGCGGTTCAACAAAATCAAGGTCAGAGGCAAAGTGTAGCCTGTTCGGGCTGAGTGCATCAACGACGGACTGTAAGAAAAGCTCAGGAGTGGTAGGCACATTCGTCGAAACCTGAACTGCTTGAGTGGGATACCCCGGAGAGAAGAGAATGCATTGCACCTTAAGGGTAGAACTGGTCGCGGTTGACCCTGCAGGAGGACCAGCAAGCTGACCTGTGTCAAATGCATCGGTGCTGTGATGGATGGGAAATCCCGTCACGAGGGGATCAGGCCGCGCAGACGATTCACTACTCCGTGAAGCAGCTGGGTTGCCACAAATCAGGGAATCAGCATCCCCACCGACTCCGAAAATCCTGACCGGAGCAGCCCAAATGCAAACAGGGCAGTTGAAAATTGAAAGGAACCAAAGGGCAATCCTGGTTCCAACAAGAGGCAAACCTGGAACACGTCTGCCATGATGACCCCGTAAGCCTCCTCTTGTAGCCTTTTGACAGTGTCCCCCAGAAGATTGACTCGGAGAGAAACCCCGAAAGCACAAAAGGGGTCTAATCGAGGCCCCCTTGCAAGGCAGCCCAAGGAGACGCCCAAGAGGCTCATGCCTGTCAGGAATCTGCCTCCAGATGGAAAGATAAAGGGCAAGGGCAAACAGGAAAAGGATGGCCCTGCAAAGTGGAACAAGGAAGGCACCAATTGCACTGAGGAGATCAAGGACCCAGTCTCCCGGAAGGAAAACCCAAGGGACGACCCCAAAGGAATTGGAATCGAGAAGCAGATTACTTTGAAGCTCCCGAGGCGCTGGCAAAACTGTGGGGACCCTTTGGAGATGACGGTACCCCGAGGCAGACAAGGTCATAGGCCTGTCTTGGAAGACCTGACTAGGTCTGCAGCCAAAACCGGCGCATTCGGACCCAGCCTCGTCAAAACCACAACAACCCTGGGGACTAAACCCTAGGGAGAGGTGGTGGGGGGGAGCACAGGCCGAGGCCCCTGAGCCACCGATGCCTCTGTTCGGCGCACTGTGCATGTTCCCGGAGAAAAACTCTTGCATTGCAAGCTTGCATGTCGCTGTCAAGTGGACTCCGTGTCGCTGAAAAAGGTAAAAGGAGCCTGGGAAGGGAACGGCGACGAGTGGGTGGATGACCGGAGGCGGAGAGGAAGCTAGTCCACTCACCCAAAGTTCAGCACAAGACCAGTGCTGAAAATCAGGGAGGATGGGGCAGAGAATATGGCAGACAACATTCACAAGAGCCCAGTGTGAACGGTCCCCGATTTGAAATCTCCCAAGCCAAGCCCAAAGGGAAAGAACTGGCCAAGTCCAAGCCGTGCCTCTGCAAGCTACAGTGTGAGACCGCAGAAATCCACAGACTGCACTTGCCAACATTCCAGTGTGGCAGCATTGACCGACGGAAGGCATGAGAGCTACCCATCTCCCCACTGAGATGGCAAGCTCTCCGGGCTCCGGCAGTCTGCAACCACAACGGACTGTTGGCAATTGCTTCTGGGACTTCTGCCTACCAGGGCCAAAGACGTAAGGCCTCATTCCATTCCGGCCAAGCTTGGGCGATGCCCACCAGAGTCCGGAGGCTTTTCGGCAAGTTCCAGCTCTTCGTCCTGGGTCGAGTGCACCGAAATCTGACCAGAATCCACTCCGGCAGGGTTGAGCCCAAAGGGAAACATAGCCCGTTTTTCTTGGATTTTGCCAGAAAGAGCTGCCTGACCAGGTGGCACACCATCCAGAGGGCCGGCAGGCTTCTAGGTCTCGTATGGATTGACACGAGGGGATGCGGAAGACGAGGGCCTCAGTCGGGTGGTCGCCGGAGAAGCTTGGTAGGGCCCAGGACCATGTTTGTCCACAACATCCGCATACGATGTGGGCAAAGGCTGACCTGGGACAGGTCCTGCTGCAGCACCAAAACTGGCCGGATCCGCAGAAAGGGTGCCATCCATTGCACGCAAGCCTGGGGGTCCAACATTCCCCGTAGCCAGTTGTGGTAGGGCTGCCAGGGTGGCCTGTAGTAGCCGCGCAGCAGCCTCCGGAGTCAACATGCCCTGGGCCACACCATGGTTTACGCCTCCAGCCTGTAGTTGATTCGCCGCAGCTAGTGTGTCTCTCAGAAAGCCTGACTGGTCCTGGGGCTCGCTCGTCGCAAGAAGCGAATCCCAAGGGTCGTCGGTGGTCTCCATGGGTGCAGGAGCCGAAGGTCGTTCCCCATTCACGATCGCCTGGACATTCTTGGCAGCTCCCTGCCCCGCTTCTGTGGACGACAAAATGTCCTGTTCTATGCGCTGAAGCGCAGCCTCGTAGCGAGCGTGCTCCGCCATGAAGTCGTCCCGAGACTTCTTCGCGAACACCTTCCATTGGGCCTCTTTGGTGGCTCTTTCCTCCTTGAGGCGTCTGACACGATTGTCTGCCTTCTTGGCCACCGCAACTGCCTTCTGTACCTCTCGCATGACGTTGTAGCCCTCGATGTTCTCCACCGGAAGGGCCGGTGCAGCCGGAGCTGTACTCAAGTCGATCTGGTCGTACGAGGGCCTGGCAGGTGCAGCTTTGGCCGTGGGCGAAACAGAGTAGGATCCAGGCCACAAGCGTCCATGCTTTGGAGGGTTTCGGTTTGCCTTCCAGTCTTGCCACTCTTTTGCCGTCCATTTCTTTCCTCCCATTACACACTGCTTGTCCAAGTCGCGGCGGTATTGGGGCCTCGAGTGATGGCCCTCCAATATGGCCAAGTCTTTGGCCAACAAGCGTAATCCCGCCTTCCTGCGGGCCCAAGTACGCGCTCTGCACCGAGAGCGGCGTGCTCTTTGTCTGCGATGCCAAGCTGGGCTGCGAGGGGCCGTGGCAAAGAGAGCAAAGAGAAAAGGGGGAGGCAGCGTGCGTTTTGCACTGGGGCTTTCAGCTATCCTCTCGTGAGGTTGATCTGAGCCCTATATAGGGGCCTAAATAATTGAATATGCTATGTTTTGTTCTTGTCTGAGGGGGGGAGTCCGTATTAGATACGATGGGGGCCACAACCCTTTTCTAATTGTTAAGGCACCTGTAGTAAGGCTTCAGGACCAGCCTGGATGAATTTGGTGAGGGCTTTCCCTTAGCCCTCATTCCTGAAAATGGTAGGAGTTCGTTGCAGGCCTCCATGTTTGTGATCTGTTTGTCCGGCTGCTCACTCTTGTCAGCTAGCGGACTAGAATCACAAACATGCATGGTTCTGCCAATCAAGAAGCCTGAGCAATTACCAACAATCTTCCATCGGTTTCCTTATTGTCACTTTAGAAACTTTATAGTCATTATGATGGCATGATATACCTTAAAGCCCTTGCCCAAATTTTCAGGCCCCTATAATTCCCAAAGCCGGCTGGGTTTTGAGAAGGCAGCGGTCGTCTTAGGGTTTGGGGTTCAGGCGTCTCGGGTTTTGCTTTTTGTGGATTTAAGGAAGGTTTAGGGGCGGATGTGCATCGCAGTCACCGACCCTGAATCTTCCCAGACCTCACGCCAAGGCCCAAAAGCAGACTGAAAGGATCAGACGACTTAGTATCGAAGGCTCAAGGTTAGACAACTATAGTTCTAGCTACTTGTTCAAAAGTGACCCCCCACAAACCCCGAAACCCTGCACCATTCTGCACCCTGGAGCCGAAGGGCCATAGAATTTCGGAGGCTTCCCTGCCATCGCCCCGGGTACCCCTGGGTTTCGCTCGGGCGTCCCCGGAACGCCGGGGCTTCAGATGCCACGCACGCCAGGCGCCGTGGTCTGGGGCTTTAGTCGAGGTTCGCTTCCCAGACCCCCGGGAGGATCTAGAAAGTAGATCCCCTAATTTGGAGCCCTATACTAGTAAGGGTATTTTATAGGAACCCCCATTAAGGGATCTACTTTTTGGATCCTCCCGGGGGTCTGGGTTTGAAGGGATCCTGAAAGGGGTTCTATACGAGGGCTATATAGGGGCCTTCATAGTTACCTTACCTATACGATTTGGGATTCCTTCAAGTTTTGCTTCTAGAAGGACCCCTAGTGATTACTACAATGGGTATTACGGAGGTTTGCTCGGAGGGTCGGGGGACTTAGTAAGTAGGTCATAGGTAGAGTCGGTAGAGTTATGAGTACCCTAAAAGGGACGCTCATTGGGGGCTTAGTACAACTCCATACAGTAACTACTTAGCAAGTCCGGCGTTTTGTACCGTTATACTTTTTTCCGCGACGGCGGCGGGCAGCACTCTTCATTATTTCCGCCGCTTTGCAGCCCCTCCTGGCTGTAATACAGGGCTCTGAATTATCAGCGATACTATTTGCCTATAGTCCCCTCAAGAATAATACAATGCCGTATCAGTGGTTTTGGTAAGAAGGCTACAAAGACCCTAGTTGGAGTTACCCAAAAAACCTCTACTGAAAACCTACTTACAAATTCCTTGATCTTCTAGGTGCGCTCAGGGACGGGACCCCTGATCCAAGAAACGCCCCTTCCATTAACAACGGTTGCCTAGAATAGAAATCATTTCATTTATAGGCAGCAAAGACAGGGGTGTATTGGTCAGGGGTCTACATGAGTGTTTCCGAAAATTAGGGGTACCTTATTTGGGGTGCGTATAATGGGGATCCTACTATTTGGGGTACTATATTATGGTCCCCTATTTTCGGAAACTCCGACATTGAACATCGTCAACGGGTGCTCCAGCCCGACCGCTTCCAAACCCCTGAACAGCCTGCAAGTTTCTTAAGCTAGGGACCCAAGAAGCACATAAGCATCAGCATTTTATAGGGATATCCCTATCCTAATTGTTGCTTATGTGCCTTTTGGGGGGGGCCCTATTAAGATGCTCTTCAACGTGGAGACTCACTAAGTAGATTACAGGTAGAGTTGTAAGAGAACACTAGATAGTGCTACTCACAACTCTACTTCTCAATTACAACTACTTGCTAAGTCCCGTGGTCCTGCGAGCGCCCGCCCTCCAAACGCCTGCAGAACTCGTCCAGACCCTTTGTAGAATCCTTTCTGCACTCCCCACCACCCGAATCCTCGAACCCTATACCCCAAGCCGCCGAACCCCGAAACCCAAACGGATAAACCCCGAACCGTAAACCCAAACCCCTAATGATGCACCTACACCCTAACCCCGAAACCCGAAACAACCCTAGACCCCAAAACCCCAAACCGATAAACCCCGAGCCCTGAAACCCCTGAACCCGTTCGTTACACCCTAAAACGCAGAACCCCGAACCGGCAAAAAAGCCCCTAAACCCAGACCCTAAACCCTAAACCCTTAAACCCTAAACCCCTAAACCCCTAAACCCTAAACCCCTAAACCCCTAAACCCCTAAACCCTAAACCAGGCGTCCCTCTCCCGCTGAGCCCTGGCGCTCCGGGCCTCATCTCGCCGTCGACTCCGGGGCTCGCTCCTGGCACGCCCGGGAGCAACTGGGCTGCGAAGGACTCGGGGTTTAAAGTTTGAAAAATGGGGTTGAGGGTTTATATAGGGGCTCAGGATTTAGGGGTTGAGGGTGTAGGATTTAGGGGTTCAGGGTTCTAGGGGTTTTGGGGTCAGAGGGCCTCTTGGAGTACTTACTATGGGACTTAGTATGTGAGGATATATGATACAAGTACCTTAAATTACGCTTAGTAACTATAAGTATACGTGCGTTATATATAACTCTAGTTGCTACCTCCCATATCCTTTAAGTAGTGCCCCTTTAAGGTTCAGGGTTTAGGGTTTTGGGTTGGGCTGGAAACTTATCTAGGGTTCCTTGCAAGGGTTCCTGAAACGGGTACCCTTGACAGGGCTCCTTAACAGGATTCCAAACGGGATTTACAGGGGCTTAGGGTTTAAACAATTATGGAATTTGCTGATTACGGCTACAAAGAACCGTGCACCATAACTACTTGTAATCCTACTTAGGGTATTTAGACCCTTACATACTACGTCCCACGATTCTCGAATTCGTGGCCCTTCAATTAAGGAAAGAAACCTTGCAGCACAAGGATCTTACCTGTATTATGTGTGAAGCAATATGTCGGGCACCTTAATGTTATGGTTGAAGGCATCTTCCTGAATTAAGTTGCCTTCGGAATTAATTGAAGGTCAGAGGGGTGTATGTCTCGGCCGGACTGGGAACGAATGATGTGAAGGTCTGTTTTGGGGTTTGGGATTTTATCGTTTTGGGATTGTGGGGGCTTGGGCAACGAAATAGACCGCCTTTATGTAAGGAAGGGTAATTCAGGGTCAACTTTGGGGGTCCGGTCCGTATAGGTTTCGATAGTGATGGATTACAAGGCGCCTTATAGGTTAAGGCATACTCCCGGGCTCTGTGGTGAAGCTCTAATTTGGGGGGTTTAATGTTTTGCAGGACTCAAAACTTTAAAAGCCCAAGCCCCCAAATCCTGACAGGTACACCCGACACTTTACTTGGGAACTTGGTTCGGGGCTTTGAGGTTTTGGATTTGTTTCCGACAGCTACATGGTCTGTTTGCTTCCAGGTTAACATATATGAAATAGTGATGGTACTGTCCATGCTGATGCATCTCCACCGGGCAGCAGCGTCGTCGTGGTCGTCGTCGTAGTGCGTGGTAGTAGTCGTCGTCGTCAACGTTTTGCTTCTGCTGGGTTCTTTGTTAAGAGGACTACTCTCGATCCCCAATATGGTAACTTAGAGTACCCTAAACCTTAAACCCATTGATATTGTTCTAATTATGAAGGCGGCTATAGTATGGTAGCTTAGAGTACAGTAGAAGCCTAAAAGTTGGAAACCCAATACCAGCTCTATTTGGCCTTAATCCGGTTTCCAACTTTATGGGGTTTACTTTAAACCCGAACCCAGTCCATTGCTCTCCCAGCCTGAGGCTCCTTGGCCCTTTTGCCGCCTTTGCTCTCGCCGCCGTCGTGGCCCCAATCACCCAGAGACTCCAATATCCCTTAATTAAGGAATAATCCTTAAATTATGGTAGGATCCCTTATATGATTTAAGGTATACTCCTTAATTAAGGGATATTGGAGTCTCTGGGCAGCTAGGTCGGTCAGTTTGGCGTAGGGGCCTCAACACAAGGAGACGATAAGGGGATGATGGCTATCCCTTCACTCCTCTTATTCGCGTTGGTTTTGAGGATCGCCCCATTTAGACTAATTAGACTAGAAAGGGAAAACTCGCAGGTAGCTACTGGTTGACACTCCATTCGGCGCTTTGGGCTGTTTGGCCCCACCCTGAGCCCTAATCTCCCAACCCTACACCTTGCAGGCCCCAATTCCTAAACCACGACCCTTTCCGGTAGGCTTTGGGGGGGGATGAAACGCTATACCTGTATTGCGGAACCCGAAGTGCTGCCTAGGCAGAAGGCGCCAGCTGTTGACAGCATCAAGGAGGAGACGATGCTTCTGTTGCCGTGTAGTGCCACCTAATGGCCCATACCCAGACCCCCGGGAGGATCCAAAAAGTAGATCCCTTAATGGGGGTTCCTACAAAATACCCTTACTAGTATAGGGCTCCAAATTAGGGGATCTACTTTCTAGATCCTCCCGGGGGTTTGGGTAATGGCCAATGGAAAGGTCGGAGTAGTTTCTAACAGTATCCCCATATAGTCCTGACAGGATATTCTCAGCCCTGTTTCGAGTCATTCAAACTCCTGTGTACTCAAACCACTCAATGATCCCCGAAGATAAGTTTTGTATAAGTGTGTTGTAGCACATTCGAAGAAAACCAGAAGATATGCTACGCGCTGAGAAGTCGCTAGTAATCCGATAATCACGTCCCCTCCCAGTGGCCTCCAGTGACGCGCTCTTCGATAGCCAATGGGAGAACTGTAAACTTGTTAGTTGCACTTGCGGTAGTTAACTTGCGGGGCCCGGTTATTGAAGAAGCGAGCGAAGTTCAATTTTACGCTTGCACTGCGCTGTAAGCCCAGACCTGAACCCGAAACCTGAAAGGAAACCCGACTTACGAATCCGACAGTATTAGTAATATCATTCCTTCATAGTCAGAGTCGTAGCTTACCTTTAGCCCTAGACATTGCTCGTGTGGCCAGGGTTTGCTACTGTTGATTTCGGAGCCTTCTGGCGTTGAATGTCCATGGGGGGGTCGACTTAGTAAGGTGCTGCCCTTATCATCCACGCCCACACACACAATTACAATGAAGTCTACCCAAACCCTATTCTAGTTCTTAAGGCCTCTACATCACGCCCTACAACCTCCAAGCCCTATTTTGGTTCTTCAGACCCTTATATTAGCCCCATATCATCCATATCTAGCCCTATACCATCTTGCTATGAGCCCCATATCATTCCCTGTATTTGCCCTACATCTCCTATACTTGTGCTAGATCATACGCCAAGGACGAAGCCCTGAATTCCACCAAGCTAAGCCCATTCCAAACCCCTTCAGAGATCCCAATGCCCCTTAATTAAGGATTATACCTTAAATTATAGGGGATTATGATTTAAGGTATATTCCTTAATGAAGGATTATACCTGAAGCTACAAGGGGCTTCATATGATGATTGACGGTATATTCCTTAATCAAGGGGTATTGGGTGCTTTGGGCCGAAGTCGTTATCCGAGGTTTTGGCCACACTTTCAGCTCAGCAGACCCCAACTTACATTACAGGGTTTTGAGACAAGCCCAAAAGCTCTGAGCTTACCTTTGGTTGGTAGGGAATGGAAGAATGGTAGTAATAGTAGTTATTATTGTACCCCGTTCCTCCATTCCCTACTAACCCAAGGTAAGCAAACCCCAAACCCTGAGCTCCAAATCCCCCACCCCCAAACCCCAAAGCCTAAACCCCTAAACCCCACACCAGGAGGACGAGTTTCGCGGAGCCTTCGAGGATGCACAGGCTCGCGATTATTCTTTGGGGTGGGAGGTGTTTGTGGAATAGGATTACGTGCTAGGGGTTGGGAATGGCTCACGAGTGTTCTAACAGGATGACAAAGCTCTTCTTCGGAATAGGATTGACTGTCTTCCTGCGAGCACAGATTTGATCAGTGGATTGCAAATGGCACTATACGTAGGATAACCCAAGGATCGCGAAGCAGAATTCTACTTTTTGCCATACTTACACCCTACCTACTAAGTCCTCTGGTCCTCCGGGTAGGCGTCGGAAGAGAGTTCGGGGGGGGATGTGGTACTTGCTGCCGGTTTGGAGGCCCTCCCTTGTTGTAGATCTGGTGCGACCAGTGGATGGAGAAATGCTCCGCATCCAACGGTCTTATCTTCCTGCGAAGCCAGGGCTGGCGGCTCACGTTTGATCATAGGAGTTTAGCGAGGGATTCTCAGAATGGCAGCCATTGCATTGATGACACAGGAAACTCTCAAGCGGGTGGTACCAAGACGCGTCATGGCGTTCTCAGGCAATCACAGTTGTCATTTGGGTGGTTGTCAAAATCATGGTCCCTTTTTTGGGTCCTTATTCTAATACGGCACCTATTACTTAGGGTACCCAAAAAGGGACCTTAATTTTGACAACTACTCATTTGCGCAGTTTCTTACAAGTCGCCCAGTAGGACCCTTACCCTGGTTTCGGAGAGTGAGTCGCCATCTTCGGATTGAGCACTGCTGTTGATGATATAAATCCTGCATTACCCATAATACGGAGTATACCATGATCCCCATAGTTTAGGGTCCTTAACATAATGCAGGATTTCTATCATCAACGGTAGGAGTGAAGTTAATTCAGGGGTCATTGGGGAACCTCGTGAGCACGAAGAAAGGCTTGCAGTTTTCAACTGCAAGCCTTGATCCTAAACCACTAGGATCTCCAGTAGTACCCTTATTCCCTTTTTGTAGTCCTAGGTTCCTTACAAAGTTACCCAATACCAAAAAGAGAGGCCTTTGTTGTTCTTAGGTTACTGGGTAACCTAGACCATGAAGCCCTGTAAACTGCAACCCTGCACCATGCGCGGAGGATCTGTGGACTTGCAGGGTATGACTCGAGCACCACGTATCCTAACATTCAGGATTCCGGACCAGGGGATTCAGAATGGCGCTCATGTGTCATCCTACTGTACACTTTGTGTGGTTGCCAACCCCGATCCTCTGAGAGAACAGTCGAAGCCGTCAGACAACCCTCAACCCTACAACCTAAACTGCAAACCTACCTAAACCCGGGTCGCCAAGTAGTATCATTACACCCCTTTAATTGTGCGACATCCTCGTCAGGACTGCATACTCGAAAATGGCACTCGTGTTATTGGGTATTGGAGAACCTAGTACAACACCCCGTTTAACAACCAGTGTTATCCCCAGTATCCCCGGACTCCCTGGAACCCAAATCCTAAACCTTAAAGGAGCCCTTAAAGGAAGCCTTAACTTAACCCTAAACCCGAAACCTCCTAAACCTCAATTCTCCACCAGGTCATCGTAGCGAGCACAGGGCGTGGAGACACGCAGCCTGATGAGGCCCGGGAAACCTTCAGGATTCAAAGACCTCACTAGTATGTAAGGATATAGGTACCTTAATTCGGCGATTGTAAGCATAGTTACTTTATTGAGAACCCTATTTACTAAGTTCCATGATCCTTCAAGCATCAGGTGGGATGAAGGCATTGGGTTTAGGGTTTTGTGGTTACCGGTTTGTCAATCTGTGGGTGCAGGATCTAGGGTTTGTGTTTGGGGTGTGCGGTTTGGTTATATAGGGGCCGTATAGATTAGAATAGTATTCATGAAACTGTGGGCTCCAAAGCATCCTATTCCAAAATGGCAGGGATACTTCTATGGGAGCATGTCACGAAGGCTGATGGAATCTCATGGTTTCGCCACGTGAAACCCCTACAAAAAGAGACTAAGCCCGAACCTCCAAAATCCCAAACCTAACCCCTAAACGCTAGGTTGAACCTTAAATCCTACCCATAAACCCTAACCCCAAATCCCAAACCCCCCTAACCCCTAAACCCTGGGCGAAAGCTTAAATCCCAACCCCTTGAGAAATAACCCCTCACGAAGCTACAACTGCGCGAGGCCGTCGAGACGGCACCGATGATCCATGAAGGCCCTGGGCTTGGCGGCTCAGGGTTTACCTTAGGGCTCGGCGGGTTGCGGGTTCGGCATTTAGGGGTGTAGCGTTTGAGGGTTCAGGGCTTCAGGGTTTCAGGGTTGAGGGGTTTCTGGTTTGCCTGAACTGTAATTGAAGCAAGATTCCCAATTTTCAGGGATTTCGAAGGCTCCGGCTTTGAATCCCCCAGCAGCCAGAGCGCTGAATCTCGCAATGCTACCCATCTAACTAAACCTTACTTAAAGGAACATGGGACATGGTAACTAGGATTATGAAGAATGTTATTATACTAATATTGCAACTGCTCAAAGCCCTCATTAAGGTACTTATTACTTTTTTGCTTACTTACTAATCCTCATGATCCTCCCAGTATTCAGCTAGGTCACCCAGTAGAACACATTTGGATTATTTGTCCGTCTTGGAGTGTCCCTACTGAAATTGTAAAACAGGAAAGTCGGTACGGAGAATTCTGAAGAGGTTACCGGGTAGCCTGATCAGTCAGGTTGCCCTGAACCTCAACACCCGGGGCCCTGCGCCCCGAACCTCTACACCCCTAAACCCACCACCCGAAAACGAGAACGCTGTGATCCTCTGTCCTTTACCTTAGAGGCATGAGGATAATATTGATGTTCCAAGCTTCTGCCTTCTACTATAACTAGAATTGGGTGCTGGGGTATATTATGCTATCTTTATAATAAGGAACACCCCAAATGGCCCCAAGGGAACCTTGTTACCTTCGCTCTGAGCCCAGAGGCTCCATCCAATACGCCTAGATTAGGGATTATACCTTAAGATACAATAGGATCCCCAATATGGTTTAAGGTCTATTCCTCAAGTAAGGGATATCGGAGTCCCCTAAACCCTCAAGCCTGTAGATCCTGTAAAGGAACCCTAAATTTTAGGGTTCCTTTGTATTCTTTAGTGAAGGGATATGGGAGTTTCCGAAAATAGGGGACCCTAAGATAGTAACCTTCATAGTAGGATCCTTATTACAAGGACTCCCAACATAAGGTAACCCCTAATTTTCGGAAACTCTACACCCTTATAGAACCCTTTAAATTTAAGGAACCCTTACAGCACCCTTATTGTAACCCTTTATAAAGGAACCCTTAAGGTACCCCCTAAGTTTCGACATCGGAGCCTCTGGGAAGCCGCGAGGCGTCCTGAGCGGCTCTGAGGGCGAATCCGAGCTGAACTCAGATCTGGACGACGATGAGGAGGCAGCCTTGTCCTTTTTCATGGTTCCCCCAAAAGAATAAACAGACCGGCTAGTAGACCTTCTTAAGCAATTCCTATTAAGGGATAGATAGAGGTATAGCCTTGAGTAACAGTTGGATAATATTCATAATATAGATATATTAGGCCCATAATAGTAGCCCTATTACAGACTGTTACTGTATGGGGGCCGTACACAAAGGAGGCCCACGTACTTGGAGGGTCGGGGGACTTACGAAGTAGTTATTTTAGAGAGTTTTAAGTACCATAGCCCCAATTAGGGTCCCTTATTTAGGGTACTTATACCCCTACTTATTATCTACTTACTAAGTCCCCCGACCCTGCAAGATGGGGGTTCCTTTGGGGTAAGGGATCTATAAGGGTTCCTTAAGGGCTCCTGTTTTGGAGGCCCAGGGGGGGGGCGTCCTTTGGGGTTTTGGTGGTTTTGAGTTTAGGATTTTAGGTTTTGTGCAGGTTTTGTGTTTTTTTTGGGGGAGTTCCTTTAAGGGATCTATAAGTAGGGGTCTATTAGGCTCTAGGGCTTTGGGTGTTTAGGGGCTTTGGTGTTAGGGTTTTGGGTTGTTTGGAGATCTAGGGTTTTTGGGGGTCAGGGTTCTTGGGGTTTAGGATTCTGGGATTGGGGCTTTTTGGGGGTTAGGGTTTCTGGGTTTTTAGGGTTTTGGGTTTAGGGTTTAGGGTGGGGTTTAGGATTGTGGGATTGGGGTTTTTGGGGGTTAGGGTTTCTGGGTTTAGGGTTTTGGGGTTCCTCGAGGGTTTTGGGGTTCCTCCAGGGTTTTGGGGTTCCTCCAGGGTTTTGGGGTTCCTCCAGGGTGTCCGGAAGAAGCCTATGCCGAAAGACCTTGACCCACACTCCTAAACCCCAACCCCGAAACCTCTGACCCTGAAACCCGGAACTCGGAGACTCCAAAACCCCTTGTTTATAGTGAAAGTTAGAAGCTGCCCCCACCCTGTAATAGTGGTATTGTAGGAATATAATAGGGCCCTAATATGATAGTAATATAAGCCTTATGGTCACTATTACAGGGTGGGGGCAGCTTCTAAAGTAAAAGTATTTTGGAGCCTCTTGGAAGTCTTAAGCAATACCTACCCGCAAGGATCGCTTTTGGCCGAGACTCATCATCTATGCGGAGGCCTGGCGAAGAGCATCCCAAGCAATACAGAGGCTACTATTTTCCTTATGGGGGTAATATAGGGATTATTACTTTTATTTTTTGGGGGTTTCTTAAGCAAATAGTAGGAGGCCTCCATAGGCTAGGTTCCTGAGTAATAGCATTTTGCCCTGTGTATTTTCGGGTTCTCTTATTCAAACCGAAAAGAGGGAAACAGAGTACTCGTATACACTGGCAGCTGGAGAACTTACGGGGCTTTTCAGAAGGGTTACTAGACGTTCGCCAGAATGGCCTTCAAGAAGAGGCTTAGAAGGGTAAGAGTGTCAATGAATAGAGTAGGCTTGTGTGTATATTGTATTATAAACATAGTAAGGGACCCGGACGGATACCCAACGCAAAACGCGAAAGGTGACGAAATTCCGGAAGTACTCTGATCGCTGGATGGTTCGGCTATCCGAGGCTGGATTCGGCGTGTCCACACCCCAAAAAGCTGGGTTAGGGCTTCGAGGTTTAATGACTAGAAAAGGTCTAGGAATGACGGATCATAAGCTGCAGACTTAGCTACAGTGATTTCTGTTGGGGCCAAAAGGTGCACCTAAACCACAGCACACCAGGCCTCAGCCAACAGCCCCAAACTCCCTCTTAAACACGAAAGACACCCGTAAACCCACAGACCCTATACCCCCAAACCCTATGAACTCTAAGCACTAAAACCCTCAAGCCCACAAAGCTAAACCCTATAAAACCCTATAGATCCTTATAAAACGCTTAAAAGGAACCCAAAAACCCGCACTTATAACTACCCACGAACCGCAAAGCAGGGGGGGGCTAAGACCCTACCGGACCTGTCAGGGCATCCTCAAATATAAAACCAACAAGAGTATCAAAAGCATTGTTTTAGTACGGTTCCAAGTGGGGTATAGTAAAAACCTCAAGCTCTAAGACCCTAACCCGACCTGCCAGGGCATCCTCAAGCATGAAGGTGTTGAAGTGCGCCTCGGCCGAGTGGTTTAAGGCCACTACGCTTGGGAGTTTCCGAAAACAGGGGACCCTAATATAGTACCCTAAATAGTAGGATCCCTATTATAAAGACCCCATAATAAGGTACCCCTAGTTTTCGGAAACTCCGAATTACTGGATAAGGCCACTACGGTTGATGATATAAATCCTGCATTACCCATAGTAAGGGATGTACCATAAATCCCATGGTTTAGGGCCCTTAAGGTAATGCAGGGTTTATATCATCAGCCGTACTTAAAGGATCATGGGGGCTTAGTAAGTAAGGTTAGAAGTAACTTAGTTCGTGGTAAAATGAAGGTACAAGTAGGTATATCACTAGTTACCTGAGTTATAGCCCTATTAGCTACTGAGTCCCATGATCCTTTAAGTAAGTACATGGACCCAAATGGGAGTTTTCGAAAATTAGGGGTGCCTTAGTTTAGGGTGCTTATAATAAGGATCCAGCTATTTAGGGTACCATATTAGGGTCCCCTGTTTTCGGAAACTCCCAAATGCTCATTAAGGCTGCGAGCTCCTGCACAGGGGCTTGGGGTTTCGGGCCCAGCGTCTAGGCTGAGGGCTCCGGGTTTGAGGGTTTACGCTGTCGTGGTCCTGGGTTCAGGGTGTAGGATTTCGGATTTCAACCTTTCGCCCTAGTATAGGGGCCTAAATAGTTACCATTATGAGTATAATAGTTTAATGGGCCCCTAAACCCTATTCCAATTATTAAGGCCCCTGTGTTATTCTCATTAATCATTAGTACTCAATCGAAAAGAATAACTCAACCAAAACCATTTTAACTGAGCCCAATAGCACTGTGCCATGCTTACGAGAGATGCTTCTGTGAAGGCATGAAGCAACAGAAAAGTGTGGAAAGACAGGACATGCTAGGGCACAACATACTCCATAAACACTAAACCCCTAAACCCCTAAGCTCTTGGGATCGTCACTGTCGGCTTACGCCGTCCGCATCCTCATCCTAACACCCACAAGTCGATCTCTATGTTTCTTCGTGACCCGCGATGCATGGTGCAAAACTCTCAGAATCCTCCACTCTAGACTTTAAGCCTTAATTAAACTCCAATAGAATCGGCGCGCACATGAAAGCTGATGCTAGGCAAGGGACACCCTGGGTTTCGTTAGTATTCACCATGTATACTCCCCCGAAGGAGCACAAGCAAGAACAGGAAAAAGGAACATGCCGAAGAGGGCTTAGACCATAGATTGCCTGAGTATTCACCATGTATTTTCTAGGAGGATCACAACCAAGGACACAAAGTTGAGACATGCCAAAGAAAGTTTATACCCTATACCGAAACCCTCGACCCTCAGCCTCAATCTCAAACCACCCTCCCTCACAAGTCGCTCTTTGTCATGTGGGTGGTTGTCAAAATTAGGGTCCCTTTTTGGGTCCTTATTATAGTACGGCACCTAATATTTAGAATACCCAAAAAGGGACCATAATTTTGACAACCACAATGACACACACACACACACACACACACCCTTTCAAGCAAAGGCTGTTCTCTGCAGTTGCAGCGGACTTGTCCTTCAACGGCGATCGGCAGCGCAGTCAGGGGAAGGACGGGCCCGGCATGTAGTACAGTTCTTGTCATCTCACTCAGTTGTTTAGGCTTAGGTGTTTAGGGCAAAGGGTTTAAGGCTTTTGAGTCAGGGTTTGTTGGCGGTTTGGGGTGGAGGGATTTTGAGTCAGGCGGGGTGTGCGGTATGGGGTTCGAGTTTGGGGTGCTCCGGCAAGGGACCCCCTGCTGTTCTCAGAGACTCGGGTGGTTGTCAAAATTAGCGTCCCCTTTTGGGTACGCTAAATCATAGGTGCCGTATTATAACAAGGACCCAAAAAGGGACCATAATTTTGACAACAACCCACTCCTACACCGTTAATCCGGCGAGAGAGGAATCTTTCAAGCGGTCTCAGGCATATAGCCGTTTATCGAGGTATTTACCCGGCAGTATGGATGAATCCTCAGAATGACTCAAAGCAATTATGTTCCTGAAAAAGGGGTTCAGGGGCCTGCCATGCTGTTGGCGATTCGACTGTCGGCGGCTGCCTGCCGGTATACCCTCTAATGTAAGAACCTGAAGAAACCCTGGGTCTCTAACCCCAAAATAGTAGGATTCATATGGGAGTTTCCGAAAATTAGGGGTACCTTATTTGGGGCCCGTATAATAAGGATCCTACTATTTAGGGTACTAGATTAGGGTCCCCTATTTTCGGAAACTCCCATATAAGGAACCTTCATAAATGGCCAAGTTTCTTAATCAGATTCCTACATCACCCTGTGTCTTATGGGACTACTGGCGAACCTAGCCTGCCCTCAGAACGCCAGGATACTGCGAGCCGGCCAGAACGAGAGACACAAAGAATGTCAGGCGCCATATACGCCTAAACCATGGGACACTGTAAGCCCCGAACCCTAGAACCGTAAACCTAAACCCGAAGCCCCAAACTCTTAAAGCTTAAACGAAACCCTAACCTGAGGTTTAGGGGTTTAGGGGGTTTGGGGGGCTCAGGGTTTCGGATTTTGGGGTTAAGGGTTCCGGTTGTGAAGCTCAATGGATCCTTTACAATGTAGCGACCCGAATGATTTGTGGTGTTTTTTATTCATTTTGCATCTGTAGAAGGGTTACTAGTAGGATGTTGGGACCTGTTTCGGACCTGGGGCTGGATCAATTCCCGTGGTGTGCCTATGTAGTCGCGCTACAATATCCTCGCAAAACCCCCTGCTACATATTGTGATCATTGGACTAGGCCAAAGAATGCTGCTTGAATCTGAAGACATGTAGGGCATCAATGAAGATGAGGTTCTGAGACTTCTTGGAGTGCTTACAAAGGTCCGTGTTTATGCAATTGAGTTTTTGTTTAGGGGGTAGGGGTCGTCAAGAAAACTCTACCAGATTCGAGCGCAATGGAGACTTCAATACCAGGACCCTTAATGAATACTCAGAGAGCCCAATGCCCCTTAATTCAAGAATGTACCGCAAATCACCAGGAGAGCACGAAACGTGCCCCTTCTGTCAAGAACCTTCGCTTCATTCTTTTGATATGCATGGGATAGCCGGCAACATGGTTTCCGGTCTCTTAACCCTAAACCCTAAACCACAACCCCTACACCATAAATGCTCAAAGGAAATGTGAGTGCACAAAAGGACTTCCCCGGACGGAGACGGATGGCATAGAAAAGCTGTAGAAGCATGAAGACTGGGATGAAGAAGCAGACTCTCAGAGCCAGCAGCCCCAATATATTTAGACCCTTGATCAAGACGCACGGGTGTTCATCGTCGTTCCGGCATGATAACCGGATATGTACCCGCAGTGAATCTTGATCAAGAGTGCCGGTGTCTACAGGAGGAAGCAAACGCCCGTCGTGCAAAGATGTCGAACTTGCTTATGGAGAGCCCGGGCTTTGTCTACTCCGTTCGAGTCGGATTGGACGTATCATGCCAACAGTTGAAATGAGGATCTCTTCATTGCTTCCAGGTTTGCCATCGCGACGAAGAAATCTTGGGAGAAGACCCTGACGCCCGATCGGAGCAGCCTACTTTTCTTTGTTGCACCCTCAGTAGTTTTCACAAGACAAAGAACATTTCCCCGCGGAGTCGGGCCCTTGTTATTGCGCCTGATGTTGTCCAAATTCCGTTGCCCGTGCAGATGCGCTCCCAATCTGGCTGAAGATGAGCGTCCCGGCTGCAGGGGATTTGGCTGCACAGGCATGAGTTCGAAGAGTTGGCTAAGCCTGCGTGATGAAGGTAACGGAAAAGGCAGCCTGCAGGAAAGGTCGAGCTAGGTTTTCACCAGTCCGCAAACCCAAGAAGAGGGGACTCAGTCTACCATGGATGTGTAACTTATTGGCTCCAATTCTCCAGTCGACTTGTGCACCCGCACTCATTCTGTACTCGCGCGGCACTTACGCGCTGCTGCTGAAGACTTCATCAAGCCAGCTATCACTTTGAAGCCATGTCTTGAATCCCGTTGCTTTCTCAGCGCGTGTCTCTTCTAAGGTTGCGTTCTCCCCGGAGACACCTGTTGCCGCAACGACCTCAATCAGCAAGCCGCCCGACCTCAAACATTGTGTGGCGTGACACGCCAGAGGCCAGTCTAGAGATCACTAGAGTCTGCAAACTCCTCAGCATCTCGGGGCAGGTTTCCTACATGCTGGAGGAGGACTTCATCTGGGCGGAGAGCGACTGGCTGGACCCGCAGGCTCGAAAGCCTTCCACAAAGAGCCTTCAATTCACAACATGTAACAGCGATGAGGATTATAACTTCGACATCCACCGCAGCCAGGCCAGAAGCCGCCGCTCAAGCTGCATCACGATGCTAGCATGGACCGTACGCCAGGCCCCCCCTGTGCTCCAAATTCCAGTTCGTGAGTCCCACTAGGGCCGAACAACTGGCCGGGCGATGCAGGAAACCCTTGTCATGCTGTCCGGTTGCGCGGCGCAAGACCTCCGAGGCACGTCAAGCGGCCGAGGAGGAGCTCGCGTACAGGGAGGAGTTTGCAGACTGCCCTTGCAAAGTCAAAATCATAGCAACATGTGGTCTGTCGCGTCATGCGAAGTTTTCCATCCCAGGCATCCCGCCAATTCTACCCTGAAGGGGGCCAGCCGGAGTCACCATCTCGAAAACGCAGCAGATGCTCGCAATGGCTGCCACGCGCTCAGCCCAGGTCGGAGGTGGATCCCCTCGAGGCTCTCCCCGAACCTGAGGGCGAGCCTGACCAAGGCGATGCGTCCATGACACAGCTGCAATGCATGTTAAGATGCAGACATTTGCTCAGATCCCATGAGCTTCCGCATCCAGACTGGGCATGCCCCCGAGTCACATCAAGAAGGTGTCTACACAAAGCCCTGCAAAAAGTTAAACTAGCTACGTAGTATTACCCGCTTGTGGTCAATATATGCTTCTAGCACAACTTACCCAATAATCCAAGTTCTCCTTATTCCACTTTTGAATTCCATGCAGAAACTCGGGGAGGAACTCAGAGCTCTGGTTCATATGGGCCCCCTTCGAGGAACATAAACCCTAAACCCTAACGATGGAGCCCCTATCCGAAACCTTAAACCCTGAACCCACCAATTAAATGAATCTTGCCTGAGATTTCGACGCCAGGCACCTCTTCTGGCGCGGCTGGGACGGCTGCTTCCGTGATCTCTAACGTCGGAAAAGCGTGGGTGATATGGGAGTTTGCATGATTAGATAAAAGTGTTTATGATGTTGTTTATTGGGATTTATTGGGTATAGGATTAGTATACGGACTTTATTGGGATTTTTGGGGTATAGGGCTTTATAAGGGTTAGTATACGGAGTTTATAGAAGAAGAGTAGCTGTTTGCACCACGGTAGTGCTACACAGGGACTGCACAGGGACACTAACGATGAGTTGTCCACAAAGACGTCGAAAGACAGTTGTTATACCAAGTTTAGCTTTCACTGTTGTAGGGATTGCGGTTTCGGGGTTTACAGACGTTGACAGAATGTGAGACCGCGCATGCGGCATCCTTTTGGCTCAGCTCAGCTCAATCGTCGCTCTTCTCGGAGTTTTCATCGACAGCTCCTCGGCAGCGGAAGATTAGCGGCGCTTGCTACTCATGGATTCGATGTCATACTTCTGGATCTCACTATGAGGTAGGGGTGCGGGGGAACCCTCTCACTGGAAGAATTGGGAACCTTCACTAGACGGAAAATGGTTCTAGGCCATGCAACGTAGCAGGGGGCTCTTCCGGAAGCACCTCGTGTCATGCAACAATTCTCGCGGGTTTACGTCTTAGTCGTCTACTGTCTGGTTCTTTGTGGGCATGGGGAGACGGATGATGGAGTCATGGAGACTGTTATTGGGGATTATATACGGACTACTTATAAGGATCCATTTCCGCATTCCCTACTAAGAACCAGAAAGACGAACCCTCCTACTGGGGGGCTTTAGGATCTAGTAGTGATATATATATATATATATATATATCACGAGTCGACGTATGTTGGATTTAGGGGTTCAGGGTCTGGGTTTGGGGTTCCAGAAAACCGTCAAGGGCTGGCCGGCCCCCAAGCTAGCTGGGGCTTCCGAGGCCAAGACTGAGCACTCCCAGAGACTCTCCAATATCCCTTAGTTAAGGAATAGACCTTCCCTAAACCCTGAACTTTAAATCCTGACCCTAAAAAACCCTAACATAATAGTAGGGATACTACTATGATTTAAAGTAGTACATGCCTTGATTTAAGGGATATTGGAATCTCTGGACTGAGCAGTTCCTCGCTGAAGTTGGGAATTTTTAGAACCACCTAAACCTGGCTACGGCTACCACAGGGGGCCCGTTGTTGCTTCTACCTTCCAGTGCACAATAGCCCGCAATGTTCAGGCTACCAGAAATGGTTCATGAGTGTTTGAATAGCAGCGAGAATTTATGAGACTCACATTGAGATGAACACATCGTCTCACAACACAGACAGGGGTTTAGGGTTTGGGGGTTTAGGATTTGGGGGGCCTTTAAACAAGCTTGCGGAGGTTATTCGCGGTGGCACGTGGTGTCGGCTCTAAGCGGTAAGCTTTGCCGGGCACGTCTTATTCCGACCAACACGGTTCTGCGACAGCACAATGCTTATGTAAACACCCTTGCAAACCATGAGGAACAGGTGTCCAGCTTTTTCCAACCCCTATAAAGCTAATTAGCAAGAAAGGCCTAAACCCTAAATCTCAAACCCTATAAAACACCACAAACCCAGTAGTAAAGCCGTGTTAAAGTACTAACACCTCCACAACACTGGCTGTAAAGCATTTTATGAACACCCTGGGCTGCTGAATCGAACCCTAAACCGTATTAAGACAGCACTTTGTTGTGAGGATCACGAACTCAAAATGGCTCGCCGTGGACGAAGCTTCGTTCCTGGGCTCTTTTACCACATCTTGATGTGGTTTTTAGGGTTAGGGGTTTAGGGTTTAGGGGTTTAGGGGTTTAGGGTTCATTTTCTAGATATATTAGGACCTTAATAGTCGCCCTATTGTAGACTCTGACCGTCAGGGGGCTTTACCTAACCTTGGTGTGAGTGTGGTTTTTAGGGTTCAGAATTGAGGGTTTGCGGTAAAGGGACCTGGTCATAGTGAAAATAGGGTTCGTTGAAGGTCCGTACCAAGACCTTATACCTTACATTAAAGGCATGGGAGTCGCTCATCGGGTGCTGGGGCTTAGTAAGTACGCCATGTCGTTGGGATGATAAGTAGATAGAGCTACGTATCCTTCAAAGAGGAGTGAGCTGTGAAGGGGTCCCTCGGGGCTTAGTAGGCAAACCACAATTGGGTTATCCTAACTGTCCTGATCCGTTAATCTTTAATCAATCATTCTTTAGGGTCTGTGTCAGGGCGTAGGAACTCCTGCGAGGTTGCTTAAAAGGTGCATGACTTTAAGTGACCTAGACTAATTATGGTAGTGCTTTTGGGCTTTCCTGGTCAACTAGAAGTTCCCTTTAGTGGTTCTGAACGGGTGTCCGTGCGAGTTGTGGACCGTGCACAGTTCCCTTGGGTGTGTAAAGAACCTTTGCTTGTTACTTCTTCCCGAACCCCAATCCCTACACCTCAGATCCCCTTATAGAATGCTTGATAGCACCCTAATCGTGGCCTCGCGTCGCGTCTACGGTACCAGATGAGTTGTGCATGTTTGAGGGTTTCGGAGTCCTTACAGTGAACCCCACAAAGTTGGAAACTGGATTGAGGCCAAATAGTGCTGGGATTCCCTATACATTACTCTTAAGGACAGAGGCTCTCGGGTTTCCAACTTTTGGGCTCCTACTGATTCTACTGTAGAAGGTTTCAGCTTTGGGGAGTTTGGGGTCCTAAGGGTCGAGGTTACAAAGGCCTGCTAGGATGCCCAGTAGTACCCTTATTCCCCTTTTGTAGTCCCAGGTTCCTTATTAAGTTACCCAATACCAAAAAGGGAGCCCTTTTCATTCCTAGGTTACTGGGCATCCTAGCCTGGGCTTAGGGTTTACTGTCGGCTTGCTTGGTTTTACAAAGTCTCCTTCAGCGTTCTTGGCCGATACACGACCAGAGAGGCTTGTTTGACTTTTTTATGGTGTTGCGAAGGATTTCGAGAGTATGGTACAGGACTTGTTTGAAAGCTTGTTGCCCTGTTTCAGACGGCTTCTGTTTGCAATGCATACTGACAGCAAGACGATGGGTGTTGAAAGGGTGCCACTACAGCATCATGAAATGGGTACATGCGTGCTGTAGGGCCCGCTGAGGAGTTGTTCACAGTGCCAACGCAACAGACATGGAAGTTTCAATCCACAGCCAAGGTGATGAGCATCTGCCTGGCCGCATTTGCATTGATGGCATGCTGGCAGTTCGTGGCACCCGTGTTCGTGCAGCCCAAGACCAACAGGGGCCTGGAGGCAGCTGCGCCGGCAGCCATGGGCGCTCTCGTCTCGATGGCCTCGTCTTTGCCTGCTGAGGCAACGGTCCCCGCCAAGGGCCCACTTTATGGGACGGAGCTTTGCACCAAGCCGCTGATCTACATCATCTACCCGCTTTGCGAGCCTGTCTTCCTGGTGTGCCCCCTCTACAACTTTCCGATCGTGTTGGGCTTCTTCGCTGCTCTCGTCACGGTGATCAACCTCATCCTGCCCGAGACCCAGCCTGACGAGGACCTGAGGGTTGGCTGAAAAGGCTTCATTCATTCCGGAGAAGCAGCAGATAGAGCGACGAGTTGGGCTAGTTTTCCCGAGTAGAACTGGTTGGTGACACATGCTCAGGCGACACCAAAAAAATTGCTCGCTTCCCATTCTTGTGGTATAACTGTAATGTAAGTTAATTGTATGCATCACAAATGTTTTTCTATTCGATTAAAAGACGTTATCGAACAGGTTTTGAGCCACAAAGCAGGTGATAGCAGCTTCCACAACAGGTGCAGATGTCTTTGCATCCTCCCGACACAACACTTGAAGGGTCGGGGGACTTACTCAGTAGTTATTTTATAGAGTAATAAGTACCATAGCCTCAATGAGGTTTCCTTTGAGGGTGCAGATCGGTCTACTAGCTACCTACTTACTACGTCCCCCGACCCTCCAAGCAGATGGCAGTCGGGACACCATGATGCTCTTTTCTGCGCACTGATGCATACCCACAGGCTCCCGAAAGATATTGCACTATCACACCCACCCGAGCCGTAATCTACCCTGAGACTCCAATATCCCCTAGTTGAGGAATATGCCTTATTGAATTATAGTAGGATCCCCAATACGATTTACGGTATATTCCTTAATTACGGGATATTGGAGTCTCTGCGTACTTGTTGTAGGTAGCAATCACAGCGACAGCATGAGTGTGGCCGACCTATCGAACTCACACAAAACTCCGATGTTGGAACTAGAATTTGCATTGCCCACGATCTAGCATCGGAGAAGATATACTGCAGCACCGAGTCGTGGTAGCGGCTTTCCGAGGTAACTGGTAACATGTTAGCAGACTGGCGTTCAAACCTGATCTCATCGCAGTGCAATTGGCTTCAGCGGACGTTCGACTTACACCTATTTTCCCCAAGGGTGAAGTCAAGCATCATGGCCCGCCGTGGACGCAGCCTCGTAATGAGCATCTGCCTGGCCGCAGTGGCATTGATGGCATGCTGGCAGTTCGTGGCACCCGTGTTCGTGCAGCCCAAGACCAACAGGGGCCTGGAGGCAGCTGCGCCGGCAGCCATGGGCGCTCTCGTCTCGATGGCCTCGTCCTTGCCTGCTGAGGCAACGGTCCCCGCCAAGGGCCCACTTTACGGCACGGAGCTTTGCACCAAGCCGCTGATCTACATCATCTACCCGCTTTGCGAGCCTGTCTTCCTGGTGTGCCCCCTCTACAACTTTCCGATTGTCTTGGGCTTCTTCGCTGCCCTCGTCACGGTGATCAACCTCATCCTGCCCGAGACCCAGCCTGACGAGGACCTGAGGGTTGGCTGAAGCAGCATCGTAGTTGAGGATGTAGGCGGTCTTGGTCTCCCCTGTAGGGCGAATCACGTCTAGCCGACATACAAAGATCAAAATGCAAAATCAAGCGCGGCCGGTTGAGAGACATGATTTGTTCAGCGACAGGTGCGAGGTTTATGCTTGAGCTTTCGTGACATTGGTCAACAACGCAGGTGCATGTCAGTGTAAAGCACAAGCTGTAAAGCTTCGTGAAATGGTGTTCACTTCTCCCGGTCCGTTTGATTCCGCAGTATTTGGCTTCAGCGGACGTTGGACTTGCACCTATTTTCCCCAAGGGTGAAGTCAAGCATCATGGCCCGCCGTGGACGCAGCCTTGTGATGAGCATCTGCCTGGCCGCAGTGGCATTGATGGCATGCTGGCAGTTCGTGGCACCCGTGTTCGTGCAGCCCAAGACCAACAGGGGCCTGGAGGCAGCTGCGCCGGCAGCCATGGGCGCTCTCGTCTCGATGGCCTCGTCCTTGCCTGCTGAGGCAACGGTCCCCGCCAAGGGCCCACTTTACGGCACGGAGCTTTGCACCAAGCCGCTGATCTACATCATCTACCCGCTTTGCGAGCCTGTCTTCCTGGTGTGCCCCCTCTACAACTTTCCGATTGTCTTGGGCTTCTTCGCTGCCCTCGTCACGGTGATCAACCTCATCCTGCCCGAGACCCAGCCTGACGAGGACCTGAGGGTTGGCTGAAGCAGCATCGTAGTTGAGGATGTAGGCGGTCTTGGTCTCCCCTGTAGGGCGAATCACGTCTAGCCGACATACAAAGATCAAAATGCAAAATCAAGCGCGGCCGGTTGAGAGACATGATTTGGTTCAGCGACAGGTGCGAGGTTTATGCTTGAGCTTTCGTGACATTGGTCAACAACGCAGGTGCATGTCAGTGTAAAGCACAAGCTGTAAAGCTTCGTGAAATGGTGTTCACTTCTCCCGGTCCGTTTGATTCCGCAGTATTTGGCTTCAGCGGACGTTGGACTTGCACCTATTTTCCCCAAGGGTGAAGTCAAGCATCATGGCCCGCCGTGGACGCAGCCTTGTGATGAGCATCTGCCTGGCCGCAGTGGCATTGATGGCATGCTGGCAGTTCGTGGCACCCGTGTTCGTGCAGCCCAAGACCAACAGGGGCCTGGAGGCAGCCGCGCCGGCAGCCATGGGCGCTCTCGTCTCGATGGCCTCGTCCTTGCCTGCTGAGGCAACGGTCCCGGCTAAGGGCCCACTTTACGGCACGGAGCTTTGCACCAAGCCGCTGATCTACATCATCTACCCGCTTTGCGAGCCTGTCTTCCTGGTGTGCCCCCTCTACAACTTTCCGATTGTCTTGGGCTTCTTCGCTGCCCTCGTCACGGTGATCAACCTCATCCTGCCCGAGACCCAGCCTGACGAGGACCTGAGGGTTGGCTGAAGCGGCTGCCTAGCTGAAGGTACTGTCTAACGGAACGTCATGAGCTCGTTGAAAAGAGTGAGGTCAGGGCTTGTCAATCTCGCACCTGTGGACTGTCCATGGGGAAGTACTTGTTTTACTAATCGGGGCATGCTAGTGTTCAGACCAGTTTGTTTGCAGCACAGCATTCGCACATTCCAAACGATGCTGAATCTTGGCTGCTCCGACCGGCAGACATGCGTCTGTATCAAGCTGAGTGTTATTGGCCATAGCTTACAAAGTAAGTCACCATGGCCCGCCGTGGACGCAGCCTTGTGATGAGCATCTGCCTGGCCGCAGTGGCATTGATGGCATGCTGGCAGTTCGTGGCACCCGTGTTCGTGCAGCCCAAGACCAACAGGGGCCTGGAGGCAGCTGCGCCGGCAGCCATGGGCGCTCTCGTCTCGATGGCCTCGTCCTTGCCTGCTGAGGCAACGGTCCCCGCCAAGGGCCCACTTTACGGCACGGAGCTTTGCACCAAGCCGCTGATCTACATCATCTACCCGCTTTGCGAGCCTGTCTTCCTGGTGTGCCCCCTCTACAACTTTCCGATTGTCTTGGGCTTCTTCGCTGCCCTCGTCACGGTGATCAACCTCATCCTGCCCGAGACCCAGCCTGACGAGGACCTGAGGGTTGGCTGAAGCGGCTGCCTAGCTGAAAGCACTCCCCAACAGCTTACACGAGCTATGCTCATTTCCTACACCTCTGGCCATTCCTTGGTCCAAAACCCAATAGTTACAGAGGTCGGAAGACTGGCTATGTTTATCCCCTTTGTAATATAGTTCCTACATAAGTACTGTATTCATTCAAAATCCCTTCGAATTGTTAAGGCCCCTATATTGAACATGTCGAGACATGTGCACCAGAGGTGTGGGGGGCGCTTTTCCTACTGAGTAAGTAGCAGCACCCAGAGACAAAAAGGTGATGCTGCAAGCTGTGTGGACGAACGCACCGGGCATTAAATAACCTGTCGGACTGTAAAGAGTTGGGTTTTGATGCCTGTAAGACCAAAATATACGAGAAGTAGACTATCTGGACCCTGAACCCTAAATCAGAAGAAGCCTAAAATCCAGTACTTTCCCTTCCGGCTGATATATCGCGCGCTGACACTGTCACGGAGTCCTTTTGGAGCCCAAGCCGGCTCAACTGTCTAGGTATCGAATTGAGATATGAGAGTTTCCGAAAATGGGGGGTACATTATTTTGGGGTCCCTATAGTAAGGCCCTATTCTCGGAAACCCCCATATCTGCCGATTTCCCTTGTTGTGGAATGAAAATAGGATGGCACTCCTAAAAAGGACTCGTAAGGCTGTAGAGAGCTACCAACATTAGACTTCCCTTGTTGTTGAATATAATTGAGCCCTGATCAATTGATTTTGGAGCATGTTAAAATCGACACCTAAACATCATGTGATGTTTCGCAGCATCGGGCTTACCCAAGCCTATCAAAGGAACCCTGAAAGGGCACCCTGTCAAGGAACCCTTAACGCCGTTTAGGAACCTTTCATGAAAGGCTCTCTGAGATGCCTCAGCCCCAAATCTTGCGATCTTAAACCCAGAGACTCCAACATCCCTCAAGAAAGGCATATACCTTAGATGATCGCAGGATCCCTTAATATGGTTTAAGGTATGTTCCTTTTTTAAAGGAAAGTGGAGTCTCTGGGAACCCTAAACCCTAAACCTCTAGACCCTATAGAGATCCTGGAGGATCCCTTTGCAAACACGAGCTATTCGGGAACCCGGAGTAGACTCCGAAAGCCGGAGTTCGTCTATTGCTCGGAGAGGAGTCAGCCAGCTTGCCACGCCTTTGCTACTGGTTTTTAGGCTAAGGTTTCGGGGTTTTAGGGTTCAGGATTTAAGGTTTAGGGTTTAGGGTTTAGGGTTTAGGGTTTAGGATTTAAGGTTTAGGGTTTAGGATTTAAGGTTTAGGGTTCAAGGTTTAGGGTCTAGTATTTACGGTTTAGGGTTTAAGGTTTTAGATTCCTGTGTTTAAGATAAGGGTTGCTTTAGGCTTCCTTTATGGGATCTATAAGAGATCTGTAAGGGATCTATTAGGGTTTAGCCGGTTTAGAGTTTGGGGTTTCGGGTAGTGTGTCCAAGTTTAGGGTGGACGTCACAGTCTGCCAGCACTGCTGGTCCAAGTGGTGCTGCTGCTCCTTCTACTCCTATTACGACGACGATTACTACTACTGTTGCTGCCTCTATGTGCCTGCAACTTCACTTGCAACTTTGGCGTTGCTGCCGCTTGACACTTCTCTGCTCAAAGCGCACGGCATGTGATGGCAAAGAAGTCCTGCACGTCACCATCACCACCGACGGAAGCAATACTTAGCGCTACAGATCTCCAGCACCGAGCTTCAAGCCTTCGGGGCTTTGGGTCACTGTGCTTTCCATTCCGGCTCTGGGCTTCGCGCAGCCATTGAAAGGCGGCCGGGGCCCCGGTCTTGGATGCCCAGTAGTACCCTTATTCCCTTTTTGTAGTCCTAGGTTCCTTATAAAGTTGCCCACTACCAAAAAGAGAGGCCTTTTTATTCTTAGGTTACTGGGTATCCTAGCGGTTGTTTCTTGGCGATCCTTTCTCGCCGGGGTTTGTCCAGGGTTGCAGAAGGGTTGCTGCTACAGGGGCCTAAATCATTACCAAGGCTATCTTGGGAGGTCCTGATTGTAATTATAGTAGAATGGGCCTCAGAAACACTTTTGTAATTATTAAGGCCCCTATATTCTGGCATAGTGCTGCTCTGGCCTGGTCCCGTAACAGAAAAACAGGGCGAACATGGAATCCTACGGTTGATGATGTAAATCCTGCAAAACCTTCAGGACTAAACTATGGGAACTATGGTATATTCCTTATTCTGATTCTGGATAACGCAGGATCTATATCATCAACAGTCTCATCGATTGCAAGAGTGCCGCTGGGTTACCTGCAGGAAGAGAACTTGGGCTTGTTTCAGGGCTGAATTAGGGTGTTTGTAAACCCCATGTTTTTTGTGTGGGGCGTACGGTCTATGAAATCAGTCTGTCTGGTTCTTAGAAGAGAATGGGGGAATGGATTATGGAGACTATTATCGGGGATTCAAAAGGGACTACTCTAGAGATCCATTCCCCCATTCGCTACAAAGCACCAGGGAGTAGTTCTAGGCTGGAGGTTCAGGCTGTGCAGGACTGAACGACCGCCGGAAAGACCTGAAGCCATCGAAGCCTTTAAATGGGGATTCCTTTAAGGGATCTATAAAGAATCTATAGGGTTTAGGGCTTAGGGTTCTTGTTAAGGGATTTAATAAAAGGTACCATAATAAAGAGACAATCAAATAAGGGATTACGAAAACCACGGGTGATGAGAGGAGGATCTCCGAAAGCTCTTGGTTTGACAGTAGGAAGATATCTAGGTTGCTTAGAAATGCGGTCGATGCTGAACGGGTTACCTCTTATTTCGCGGACTTGCTGGCGACGGCATTTTGGCCGAGGCCACGCCAAAAACATTAAATTCACAGCCACCCGCCAGTGGTATTCGTCTTTGGGTCGGAATGGTTTGGGCCAAACCCTAGAAGCTAACCCATCTGCAACCAGAAACGGCATCATCGCAGCAAGAAGCCAAAACTCGTACATGAATCCTCATGACTCATACACCCTTTCTCAACAGAGACCTTCTCAGAGTATGAGACCCACTTCAAAACCCTATGACCACTGTACCCTTCAAGGGCAACCCATACATAACTGAGCCATTATAGTAACCCCTCTAAACCCCTTTGAGGGAACCCCTTTAAAGACTATGCCTGTACTATAGGGGCCTTCATAATTAAGCATACTATTCTGGGGGCTCCTTGTTATTATTATTACTATTAGTATAGTATCATATGCCCCAAAGCCCTATTCTAATTATTAAGGCCCCTGTAGTATGACGGTACCGATAGCTTCTGCAAGGCAGGGGAGATGTTCAGCTGCTGCGTTTCGAAGGACGACCAGCAGGTCGGGATTAGGGTTGACGGCTTGGGTGCAGGGTTTAGGGCTTCAAGTTTAGGGTTTGGAGTTTAGGGCTTAGAGTTTAGGGCTTAGAGTTTAGGGTTTGGAGTGTTTGGGGTTTCTGTGGTTTTGTCTGAGGGTCTTGAAGAGGGCTGTTATAGAGTGTTTGATCTTGTGTTTGGCGTTTGGGTGTGTAGGGCCCAGGCTTTGTTTAGTTTTTCGGGTGTTTGCATTATATGACTTCCAGTTTTGAAGCATCCAGCGCAGAACCTTAAGCTGCTTTGGGGTATGACGAGCATCCTCACTGCAGGACCCTTAAAGCCGAGGCCTGCCAAAGCCCTCTTAACCCTAAACCCTAAAAGCCTAAACCCCTAATCCCTAAACCGTATGAGCTTAAACTTTAAAGCCCTGAACCCCAAGCCCCAAGAGCCTAAACCCCTAAACCCTAAACCCATGGGCTTCAGGGTCCGTGCTTAGAGGGTCGGGGGACTTGGTAAGTAGGTAATAAGTAGAGTTATATGTACCCGAACAGGGATCCTAATTTAATTGGGGTTATTGTACTTATCACTCTTTACAATCACTTACTAAGTTCCCTCACCCTAAATCCTTAAACCCTAAACCCCTAAACCCTAAAACCTAAACCCCAAACCCCTAAACCCTGACCCTCCAAGTATGGGGCAAGGGCCTGGAGCTCTGCCACTGAGCAGCTGAAAGGGGAAAGGCTTAATCCGTTACTTGGTCTGGGCTTTGGAGTGCCATACTTTATTTCTTTTTGTTGGGACCTGGTACTTATACAAGGCACCATTATGAAATAAGAGTCTATACTTTCTTCTTCTCCCAGGTTACTTCAAAGCCCAGTAGTAGTAGTAGAGTAGGTAACCTTTAGCTTTTTTTGGGCACTGTAATCCCTGCATAATCCCAAAGGTTAAGCTTGGGTTCCCCTAGAAACCTGGACAAGTAAGATCTACGGCACGTCTAGTCCTGCCACGATAACAAGGTAGAGTTCTGTGGAAACTTAGCAACAACGTCCATGGAAGTGCGGAGAGTTCGAGCTGGTTTGCAAGCAACGAGTCATGCTGACAAGATTTAGAAGAATGCTGTCGCAAAACTTCTGCTGATAGAACAGAGGGCTTGGCTTGTGTAAGAGTGGATTTAGTGGCTTGGAGGTTTTAGGGTTCAAGCTGCGGGTGTGGTGGGTTAGCGTACAACGGCGGAAGCAGTAGAAGTAGCCGCCATACTAATTGGCTTCTCAGCATCCGTCTTCTGCTAGGCCGGGTTAAAGATTTAAATGAAATCCCACAGTGGCAACATCAGATTTTTGTCTTACACGAGTTCCTTATGCTAGGCCCGTCGACAGCAAGCCCTAGCCCTGTCGACAGCAGCCCCTAGCGGTAACAACTACCGAACCTATTAGCAGCACGACAAAGCCTTCCACCCCTTACTTGTGTTGACTAACATGCACCCGAGCCCTTTTCCAAGGATCAAGGCCTTTACATTACCTGATTATGGGCGGAGATTCACAGCGCATTTGAAGGCTCTCTGTACAAGATCTGTGGGGGCTTGATGCTAGAGCCCAGACTTAGCCTCATCTCAACCATTCGTCAGGGATTCCTGGAGAGCCTCGACGTGAAACCATACTGCGGATGATAAAAATCCTGCATTACCCATAATTAGAAATATACAATAATTCCATAGTTTAGGGTCCTTAAGGTAATGCAGGATTTATATCATCAACCGTAGGTTAGGATCCTTCTCTGGTTCAAGGTGTGAAAAGATTCCCCGTTCCTTGGTGCCCAAACCCTAAGCCGTAACGCCTACTTGGAGGGTCGGCGGACTTACTAAGTAGCTGGTTTTTAGGGTTATAAGTATCATGACCTCAATGAGGGTCCCTTTTAGGGTACTTATAACTCTCTCAAATAACTACTTAGAAAGTCCCGACCCTCCAAGCAAACCCTAAGCCCTAAGCTGGTTCAGGAATTCCTGGCGCCCAACACGGCGCCCTCAGCAGCCGACCGAGTTAGTGCTGAGGCGCATGAGGTTTCTATAGGGTCCTATATTGGACTTATAACGGCTTCAGGGGGGGTTTATAAGGGCATTACACGGATCTTATCGGGCTTATAGAAGGGCCTTTTCGGGGTGTTGTAACTCCGCCGTTATGAGGATGTGTTGGTTTCCTGGCTCGGCGTGCGCCTTACGCGGTACTGAACAAAAAACCGTTGCAGGTTTCGGGGTGGGGCCTGCTGAAAAGATGAGACAATGGGAAACCCTAAACCCTAAGGTTTCAGGTTGCTTCAGAACCTGGACATCATTGTTTGGGGTAAGTTTAGGGTATTTATGTAAGATATGATCTGATGGTATGTGGTATAAATGATCTCTTGTCTAGTATCTAGCAGCGATATGGGAGTTTCCGAAAATAGGGGGACCCTTTCATTGTACCCCAAATAGTAGAATCCTTCTTATAAGGACCCCAAAATAAGGTACCCCTAATATTCGGAAACTCCCATATATCAGATATCGAGCAATCATAGAAATTTCAGCACAGGCGGCTTGGAACCTCCAAAAGCCCGGGGGATCTCTTACTGGGGCCAATGCACTCTAAGGGTTTAGGGTTTAGGGTTTAGGGTTCTACATCACGTCAAGCATCTCTCTTCACTGCTCTTAGGAGTTAGCTTTTATGTTTGGTTCATATAAAACACACGAGAATATTAGAGATGCCATGTTTATTATGGTTCTAAGGCGGGGGTATAGACCTGTGTAAGTTAAGGTGTAGATTCCTTACTCAAGGAGCTTCTGAGGCTGGTTAAGCAGCCTACGTTCTCTTTGTAAGGCTCTAAAGCTCCCCCGGCATGTGCCTTCCATGGCAGGCCTTTGATGATGGAATGTAGCGAACAATAACAGAAAGGATCTCTTGACAACGGCAGGCGGTTTTTAGGGCAGAACTCTGGTGACAGTGGAGCGGTCTGAATAGTTGATAACTTAATTCTTTAATCCTCCAAGCTTTAAGTTACTTTCATGAACCCCCCAAACGTTCTTCGAATTCTTAAGGCCTGCCTAAACCCTAAACCCTCATAGTAAGCTGCCAGGATGCCGGCGCAAAGATCTTCACGTTTACCGTCCAGAAGTCAGGCGATAAGGAGCTCCGGGGGCATTTATCATAGGGATCCTTGGGGGTGTAGGGGGGAGGGGTGTAGGGGACTATATTTCCTTAAATAGGCCTTATTAGTCCTTATTATGGGCCTTAAGGCCCCCTACCCCCCCTCCCCCTACACCCCTAAGGATCCCTATGAATTTAGCGTGTGCAGGGACTTTGGAAGGGTTCTGTAGGGGTGCTCTACGGCTTTTAAACGGGGGTTCAGGGTGTAGGTGATGCTTTTGGTCGAAGTGATGGCGATGAGGAAGATGAAAAAGTTGAAGCAGAAGAAGAAGAATAAGAAGAAAAACATGATGACGACGAAGATGATGGCTTTGGCGGTGGCCGTGTTGCCGAGCGAGGATGAGCATGACGCAATGGTCCTTTGCAGTTAGGTGCTGTAGCGGCTACAGCCGGTTTTGCAGTCGAATTTGTAGTTGTCTTGCTGCTGTCATTGCTGCTGATTTGGCTGCCCTTTCATGATGTGCAATCCTCCCGTTGACCGCTACCTTACATGGAGCAGAGATGCAGATGGGCTTGCCAAAAACAGAGGACATAACCCTAAACCCTAAAACCCTACCCAAAAAACGCGTGATAGAGAGAGGACATGCTGGGCATGGACGTGAAACACAAGAAGCCCGGGCCTCAGCCATCGGCAGGTCATCAAGCCTCCTTATTGACGTAATGGTAACTAGTAACTAGCAGGCATCGCGGGTGGACGAATGTCTTGTCAATGAGAGCCCTACTATGAGGATCCTGCTATTCAGCGTTTGTCTTGGGTTTGCTCCTTGTCTTATGCTTCGACCTGCTCTACAAATTCAAATTCCCCCTCCATGGCGCGATTGCCGAAGATTCCTAGGATGCCCAGTAGTACCCTTATTCCCTTTTGGTAGTCCTAGGTTCCTTACAAAGTTACCCAATACCAAAAAGAGAGGCCTTTTTATTCTTGGGTTGCTGGGTATCCTGGATTCCTGAACACCCCGGAACACTAAATCCGAGCTCCTAAGCCCCAACTTCTACATCCCTGAAACCCAAATGGGAGTTTCCGACAATCAGGGGTACCCTGTTTTGGGGTCCTTATAATAAGGATCCTACTTTTTGAGGTACTATATTAGGGTCCCCTCTTTTCGGAAACTCACAAATCTAAGCTTCAACACCCTGCTCTGAAAACTCGGGGCCCTGAACCCTTGAACCTCCGAAACCCGAAAGGCTATATCGTAAAACCTAAGTTAGCTCGGAGCCCTATCCACTCCTTTATCCGACATGGGAGTCGTAACACAGGCGGGTCATGAGCACAAGGATCCTCATCGAGACTGCAGCATAACAAGCCAGAGACTCCGATACATCCCTGAGTTAAGGAATAGACTTTAAATCCTCTTAGGGATCCGACGATAAATTTAAAGTATAGTCCTTAAGTAAGGGATATTGGAGTCTCTGGTAGCCACTAAACCCTTAGAAAGCCCTTACGAGACCCTTTGGCAGCCACTCACCATCCAGAAACCCTACACCCTGAACCCCAAAACCAAAGCCCAAGACCTTGTAGAGCCCTCACGAGACCCCTGGTGACCAATCCCTGAAACCCTAAATCCAGAACACCACAACCAGAGGTTTAAACCTCATAGGGTAACCCCAAACCCTGAACCCCCCGAACCCAGAGCCCCACCCCTCATAAGGCTTCATTTCAAAAGGGCCCTGGCCCCCTGATGAAAAAACACCCTAGACCCTCAACCACTAAACCCTAAGCCCTCAACCCCTAAAGCCCTAAAGCCCTAAACCCTAAGCCCCCAAACCCCTAAACCCCTAAACCCTAAACCCCTAAACCCTAAACACGCAGCATAAGGGGCATGTGGCTCGTGGTTGCGAAGATCGACGAGGGGGCGGTGGCCGAAGACTCGACCAGGGTTTAAGGGCTTTAGGGGTTTTAAGGGTTTAAAGGTGTGTTAGAGGGTTTTAGGGTTTTAAGAGGTTGAGGGCTTAGGGATTTTAAGGGGTTTTACAGGATTTTAAGGGGTTTGGCGGTGGAGATTTTAAGGGGTTTAGGGTGTAGGGGGCTCGAAACCATTCTACGTCGGGTCCGGACAGCTTTTACACGGGTACAGTTCGGCGGGTGGGGCATTGTTCGCGGATAATAGGTGTTCGCTTGTTCGCTTCTAAGTGTTGTCGAGTGGCATCAGGTTTTGGAGGGGTGTCCGTGGCGTTCTTTACTTTAGAACCCCGGCCACTTCATGGGATTTTATAGGGGCGCAGGATTGGTTTTGAGTTTTTGACTGGAGATGACAAGGACAAGGCCAAGAAAAGGCCTGAGCACAAGAAGACGGAAGCTGACGTAACAGCCGGTGGAGGTGCCTCGCTCAACATGGTCCTGACAACCTCTGTTGACGATAGCTGCGAGACGCTGCCTCGACAGGTGCAGGCGGGTTCGTACGGAAAATTCACAAAAGAGGCTGAGATATCGGATAAGGATGAAAGAGCTTTGAGTGCCGCATTGCCATGCAGGACGCGCTCCGGATGAAGTGTGACAAGATCTTGATCAGACACGCTAACAGGATCAGAAAAGAGACCCGCAAGGGTCTGTAAAATACAGATACAAGAGCCCTCCAAGGATCTTCAGGGTTCAGATTTCTTACAGTTACCAGATAAGGTGACAGCATTAGCAAAAGAAAATGCAGCGGCAGTAGCAGCAACAACTGCTGCCACTACTACGACTACTCCTACTGCCAGGCAGTACCCCGACTAATACTGCTCCTCCACTGATACTGTTCCTGCTACTGCTCTTACTGCTACTGCTAGATCTAAGAGATTCTACGACGGCGACGACTAAAACTTCAACTAAACCCTAAGCCCTAAACCCTAGAATGCCTTAAACTCAACTCAGAAATAACAGCAAACATTGTTGAAGCGCAAGGCCCGAGCGAATGCATCCGGCTTGAATGGTGAGACACTACAGGACCTGGGGGCTTAGGGTGTTGTTGGGCTTAGGGGCTTGGGCTTAGGGTTTAGGGGTTTAGGGTGTTGGACTTAGGGTTTTGGTTTTGCGGTGACGGGTCTGAGATTTTGGCTTGAGGGTTCTGGATCTCGGAGTGCGGCTTCGGGCCGTGGGTGGCTTTAATGATGTGTTCAGAAGCTGGGCTGTCCTTTGGGTTCTTTTTAAATTTCCCTTACTATTTTCTGGAGAGCTATACTAGTGAATAATTTTCAAAGGGCCTTAAAGGACAACTCAGGAAGGTTTTTGCTAAGGCCTGAATGTGGCCTCGAGGGGTCGCCAGCTTTGTGCAGGAAGTCGCGTGAGGTTGCTTAGTTTGGGCGTCGGTCTCATGGAGTTTTGGGTTCAGGGGTGTAGGTCTTGGAAGATTGGGGGGGGGGGGGGGGGGGGGGGGGGGGGGAGGAATGAGTTTAAGGGTTTAGGAGTTGAGGGGTTTAGGGGTTTATGCTTAAAGGGATGAGAGTGAACTCGTAGGAAACATATCCCGGGGTTTGGAGCACCATACTTGAATACTTTTTCTGGTACCTGTTCCTTAAAGGAACCATAGTGAAATAACAGTCTATACTTGTTTCTCCCTGGTTACTTCAAAGTCCAGTATCCCCGTATCTTCACCAAAGACGAATACTGGAGTATGCAAATCCCTCGTCTGATCCTTAATGCTTAATGCCCCTAGAAAAGCACACCCTGCAAAAGCCCAAGAGAGCCCCAAAGATAGATGAAGGCTTATTAAGACGAAGCTGTCGAGCAATGGTCTGAAGCCTCAAACTTCCGCATCAGAGCTCTGCAGAATACACTCCCGAATGGATGGTTATCAATATTAGGGTCCCTTTTTGGGTCCTTATTATAATACGGCACCTAATATTTAGGATACCCAAAAAGGACCATAATTTTTGACAACCAACCGAATTTACATCATGAGAACAGGTGGCCCTCATCCGCATCGGATTAGGGTGTTCAGGATTTAAGAGCGTCCGTCTTGAAGGGCGATGTTGGCTTCCAGGTTCATTCGGGTATATTGCAGGTTTCTGGTGACTGCACCCTCAAAGAAGTTGCAAGTAGGTCATGAGTAGCTGCTAGACAGCCCCTCCAAGTACAGCAACCTCAACCCAAACCCACAACTGCATGAATCAGCTCTAAACCTGAAGCCCTGCACCCCTTCGACAAAACAAGAAGCAACTATCCCATCATGGCCCTAAACTCTGAATGAACTCCTTGAACCATACCCTCCCAAAAAAAATTAAGGCAAAGGAATCCATATAACCATACAACCTGCAGAACCCCCCCAAGCTCAAAAGCAAGCAAAATCGAAGATCCCGGCCAGATCTCTGATGTCATTTACGAAATCAACGGCGTAAAGGGTGACGATGCTTTGATGGCAGCTCGGAACGCTTTAGGCTTTCTGAGTTCGGCTTCACTGCTTCGATATCATTTATAGTTTTATGCAGGGTTTGTAGTTTAGTGTCCAACGTTGAGGGCATCGAGTTCGGGGTGTGGAAATTATGCAGTTTCCGAGGCAGGTCCATGACAAGCAAGCTGCTAGCGAAGTGGTACGTAGGCAGACAGGCAGGCAGGCAGGCAAGTAGGTAGGTAGGTCGGTAGTTAGGGAAGTAATTCACTACTATGTCTGCATGTGTGTATATGCATTTGTGATCCTTGTCGCATGCAAGTAGCCGTTTCCGCATGACTGACTGTGTGTTCGTTAACATGTGCTCACATGTGAGTGCGTGTGTGCTAACTCGTGCTCATGTCCATAAAAGTCCAGGCATGCACGCAAGTGCGTGTTTGTATGTGTGCTTGATTGCAGAAAATGGGTGCATCCAGGCAATCGCTTTCCACCGGGTGGATGTATTGCAGTATTGCATATACACTTTGTGCATGCATGCAAGCAGACAGTATGTGTGCACCGGTGGATTATCCGCAAACAGAAAACCCAGAGTTCCTGAAGTCTAGGGAGCTGACGGAATGGCAGGGTGCTGTCCATCAGCCGTATTGACATGCGTGGATGGGCGAGAAGTCCCGTGCTGCATGCTCTTTCTTAGCTGAGTCGCCGCTAATAGACACGATCACGGGCAGATTATGCACCAAACACCGGTAGGCCCTTAGCGCCCTCCTTTCTCGGAATCCCCGAAACTCGAAGCCCCACAAAGCCTTAACCCCGAACCGACTCGCAAAGTGCCAACCCCCAGGCTCTGCCTCTCCTTGTGGGATGCCCCCAAACACTAAAGCCCTAAAGCTCGAAAAGCCAACCTACGAAATCCTCTTACTACCCAGTCCAACGAACGATCAAGTATCAAACTTGTACTAGCACACCCGTACAAAGTTCGCTTCAAATTTTACACAACCTTCCAAAAGCACACGAAATTCTTCAGAGGACTCAACAGTAACCGGAAGCCTTGGCATTGCAGGTTGCGGAGTGCAAGAAGTCTTCGAAGTTGGAAATGAAGGTGGGGCCTTGAGTTTACGGCCCACGGTTCGCTTCTAAGGGTGTACGGGGTTCTGCAGGGTTTCGAGTATCAGGATTTTAGAAAGGCCTCGGGTCAGTTTTAGAAAGGCTCCTGCAGGAGCTCTTAGGCTTTGGACCGCCAAAATCCCTATGTTGCCTTTGAGGCTGCTTACAACGGTTTAGGGGTTTAGGGGTCCTTAAGGGCTCCTTTAAGGGATCTATAAGGGATCTACAGGGTTTAGGGGTTTAGGGTTTACTACTACTACTACTACAGGGTTTTAGGTTTCAGGGGATGAGGGTTCAGGGTTTAGGGGGCCAAGGATCCGGTTCTATGACCTTTTTGGGAGTCCTACAGGTCATGGAGTAAAAGAGACTATACTGTACTATATAAGTTGTCATACGATGCTATGACTATGATATATTAGAAGCTGCCCCCCACCCTGTAATAGTGGTATAATAGGAATATAATAGGGCCCTAATATAATATCAATATAATCCTTATAGTCACTATTACAGGGTGGGGGCAGCTTCCAAATGATATATGTATAACTAAGTTTCTTGCGTACTTCACCGAGCTCGCGAAGTTCAGGGTTCGTGATGAGAGCTCAGGGCTCATGGATATGTTTAACGTGTAAGTTAAAACCCTAAACCCGAAGCCCTAAAGTGTTTTTGCTGTGTGGTTTTCGAATGGACGACCGGCAGCCTCTGGGAGTGTGCTGCCACGTGTCGTGAATCTTACGGTTGGCCTCAACCCGACCAGACCCCGAAACCCTTAAACCCAAAACCCTGCAGCCCTTAAACCCTAAACCCTGCAGGCCTGAAGCCCCTGAACCCTGAAACCCTAAACCCTGAAGCCCTTAAACCCTAAACCCTAAACCCTGCAACCCTGAAGCCCTTAAACCCTGAAGCCCAAAGGTCAAGCGCATGTCTACTCCGATGTGATCTCGGTCGAGCAAGGAGACTCGCTTCAACCTGTGCTGCCGCAGCACACTTCTCAGGGCTTAGGGTTCAGGGGTGGCTTAGGGTTTAGGGCTTAGGGTTTAGGGTTTAGGGTATTTCATGAGTGAGTACACTGTACACTCTTCGGGATAACATATATTTCCTTTCAGAGCTGAATGTAATTATACACTTTGTGGACTTATGATTCGGCAACTCGGAGGAGCATAATATTAGGGTTTACGAGGTTTGGAGTTTAGGCTTTGGGGACTAAATATGCAATTTCCCAGGGAGACAGTCAGCAGAGTGGAGCTCGCTGATTCGCCGTAGCACTTGTGATCGATCAGGTTAGAGCGTTGAAGTAGCAAAAAGAGCCCATCATTCCGTGAGTCAAACTTTTCTCGAGCTGGTAGCGGAGCAGTGGTCTATCCACGGCGATGATGCTACGGGTCGTGACCATGGCCCTTTTGTGCGGGCATTGCACTTCACTCAGTGGCAGCAGCGGCATGCTTAGAGCATCAGCTGCTGACAGTGAGGTCGTGCATGCAAGTCCCAGCCGGACAGAGCCCCTGGAGCGGGTCGATGTTGATGCGTCTTCGCCACGTGACAAGGTCACTGGCTTACGAAGGATCTTTCGACTTCGAACAGCTTCATGGGTATGTTTCCTGGTGCTGATGGGTATTATGTGTTCAGTGCCAGCAATGATGTTTCAGCCACATGGACATGGTGGACAGAACAGCATGCGGATGCCGCCTCGTTGGGAGCCGGAAAGCAATCTTTCGTTCAGGTCCTGGATGCAAGACTTGATGTTGTGGACCATAGTGACGGACATGACGCCACCACAACAGTGTGCCGCCATTATCAGTCAGCTTGGTGGTGCTGCGAGAGACCTCGCAAGAGCTTTGACCCCAGCTGAAGTGTACAACGGCGGTATAGTGAATGGTGTACAACTTGATCCTGTCAGTTACTTGCTACAGGGCTTGCAATCGAAGTTTGCTCCTCTTGACGAGGAAACTAGGTTGGGCGCCGCCCAAGACCTCTTGACTTTCACCAGGCGCCAGGGAGAGACGGTGGATACTTTAATATCCCGCTTTGAGCTGACTCGCCAGCGAGCACGCGATGAAGGCGGAGGAGCAGTGTCCATTGAGACTGGTGCCCTGCTGTTGCTCAGGGCGTGTGGGGTTTCTTCAGAGCAGTTTCAGACTTTGACTCAACCGTTTGGGCTACGTCTGCCCAACACCGAGCAGGAGTTCACAAACATGTGCCATCACTTGAGACGTATGGGTCATATTGTTGAGCGTTTTCCCAACAACATAGCTTCCGGCCTTCGCTCCAATGCCCCCGCTGCTTCATCCAATGCAGGTCACACATACCTCGCCGAGGCCGATACAGGTTCATCTGCTGAGTCCCAGATGCATTGGCAATCAGGCGCAGGTGCAACCGGTGGGGACTGGCAGATGCCATACGGTGACTCTGCCGATTGGGCATTTGCAGCGTACGATGTCCCAGGTGATTTTTCCGATACTGAGTCTGCAACTAGTTCTGACCGTGAAGAAGCATTTGCAGTTGACGATCTGCAAGGAATGTCGGCGTCTCAGGCCGACGAGTACTTGTTTGGCCAGTATCAGGAGGCCAAGCGAAGATGGAGAAGGTACACCGGGAAGCCAGTTCGTGCATTGCGGCGAGTTCTTCGAAGGAAAGGAAAGGGCAAAGGGAAAGGCAAAGCACCGAGGCAAGGCTTCTTGAACATTGCAGAGCTGCTGCAACAATCAAGTTACTTTAGGGCCAAGGGTAAGGGTGGCAAAAGTTCGGGTAAGGGTTTCGGTCGTAGGACTAATCCGACAGGCCGGGACGGTGAAGTCCTTAAGTGTAGCATTTGCGGTTCTGCTTACCACTTAAGGTTGCGCTGCCCCCAGCGAACTAGTGCCCAGCCGCCGGCAACTGCAGCACCAAGTGCTGCTCGTGGACAGCAGCCGGAGCCGTCCTACACCGTGCAATCTGCTTCGACAGGCCTCCACTTCGCGGCGTTCGAGTCAGATGGCTCTTGGGCCCAGGTGCAGACGCCAAGATCCATTGCATCATCCTTCAGGCCCGCTGAGCCGCAGCCCGAAACAGCAGAAGCCACTGCTGGAGAAGCCGAACATCAGTTGCCGCAGGCAGCCCAGAACTCTGGCCCAGCCGTGCATGAGCTTTCTCCCGACCCCTGGACGCAGAATCCCGATCCGTGGATGTCTTGGTACCAGGAGTCCGCCCAAAGAACAAGTGAGCACTTGCCCTCGCTGCAGACCCGCCGAGCTTCTTGGCCCACCGAGCTGAGCACACAGTGGCAGGTGCCAGGCATAGGCAATGTTGGAATCCCTCAGTCGTTCAACGAACTGCTTGGAATCAGTAGACAGCCACCACCGCCATTGCCCGAGCAAATGTCGCGACAATCTTCGGTGCCCGCATGGTTTAGCGGAATGCAGCATTCGATGTCCCAACTGCAAGCAGCTGCAGCACAGCGCGCGGATCACAACTCCGAGTCGAATCGGCCACAGCAGTCCCCTGCTGTTGCCTCAGTGTTCGCTCGGCCAACTTTTCAGGCTTTGAGACCTGTTGTGGCACCTCAGCCCTCAGTGCAGCCGTCTGCCGCGCGCAGCAATCCGCTTTCGATGATCAGTCAGGTGCAGGCCCTTAGGAGCACACAGCATGATCGGCGCAGCCTCCCACTATCAAGTGATGCAGCTGGAGTGCCTCAGGCCAGCAGTACCCCATCGCAGGGAACCCAGCACTACCACAGTCACGGTGTTACCTGCACCATTTGCCTTGATGAGTTCGGCCCGGGAGACCATGTGGTTCGCCTGACATGTGGCCACACTTTTCATGCCATTTGTGCCGGTGAGATGTCCATGCACAATGAGGTGACGGCCGCCAGCGATGGCCTGTTATACCTGGAGTGCCCTAACTGCAGAGGCATGGCGTCCGTGGCCCGAGACTGGCACTATCCTCGCCTAACAGCAGTGCGCCGAACCACCGATGCCCAAGCATCAAGTTCAGACGATGCTCAGCCTGAGCCTGGCGAGCCTGCCAGCGATGCCGCCCCAGTTGCAGAGCCGTTGTCTGCGCCAGAGGGTGCAATGCATGATGCACCTGAAGGCAGTGCAGTTCCTCCTGATACTCCTCGCGCCGGCAGTGTTGCCACCGAGGAGTTCTCCACACCGTCTGCCGAAGCCTCCTTTCCGTGGTGGCCTGTTGCACCCCAGCCAGATGCCGACGGCATTCAGCCGCGCATCTCTGATGATCCGCCCAGTCAGCCCAGCACTTCGTACCACAGCAATGTCAGGCTTGCCGATGGTAGATTGGGGTTATTGGTTGACCCGGGATCGTATGGGAACCTAGTAGGTGAGTTGTGGCTGCAATCCGCAACAGCGCAAACAGGCAAGGCGTCTGAAATCCAGGAGCGCAGCCAACCCCTCCAGGTCGGTGGTGTTGGAAAGGGGGCACAGATGTGTATCAATGAATGCAGGATGCCGATCGCTCTTCTTCGTGAGGACGGCAGTGCAGCCACGGGTTCCTTTAGCAGCCCCGTAGTCCAAATGTCAGGTTGTCCTGCACTCCTTGGTTTGCGAACGTTGCAGCAGAACAATGCCATACTTGATATGCGCACAAATCAGTTGCATTTTGCAGCATCGGACAAGGTGACCATTGCCCTTCCGCCTGGCAGCGAAACGTTTCAACTTGAAGCTGCCGCCAGCGGTCATCTACTGCTTCCTTGCTCTGCATTTGAACATGTGTCAGCGGCCGCGGTTCAAGGTGAACATCATTTGTTTGCCGACAACAAGGCCGCTTCAGAAGCTGTGCCAGCACCGTCCACAGGAGCAAGCACCGCATCCACTTCCATGCAGCTGCCTAGCGAGTTTGATTACCTGTTGACCAATGCTGAACTTCAGCTAGCGACGTCCTTTGAAGAGCGCAGCGCTGCAGTACTCCAGAACTTCTCATACGAGGCAGCAGCTGGCTTAGTGCAAGAAGCTCTTGTGAGCTGGGCCGCCGCAGCTCGTGCCTCAGATCACCAGCGCTTTGCCCATGCGTCCGGCATCACCCGCTGCTTCGGTCTGTACTCTCACGGTGGAGAATATGGATTGACAAATGCCACCAAAGCTCACCCCTGCTTCGCACAGCTGCTGTGCAAGATGATGACCGAAAAGGGAGCGCAACTCCCATTCACTTCAATTGCTCTCTCATATGATGTCGCAGCTCCCATCCACATTGATCGGTTCAACAAAGGTACCAACATGATGTTGCCATTGAAGGTGCCTCGATCTGGCGGCGGACTGTGGATTGAATTGCAGAAAGGCTCAACTGTGATTGGCGACATTGAGATTCGCAAGCATGGCCCAACCACATATGTTGGCCAAAACCTGCCATTGTGTGAGAACCAGATTCTCACCTTCGATCCGAAGGTGCCTCATGCCACTGAGCCGTGGACTCAGGGCCATCGAGTTGTGGCAACTGCATATGTCAATGGCAGTACCAGCAAGTTGACCCCATCACAGTCAAGCGCGCTGAAGGAGTTAGGCTTTGTGCTACCAGGTCGTCAGGTGACTTTTGCAAGCACCGAATCCAGAGCCACAGAGCCACAGATTCCAGCAAGAACCGAATCCTCAGCCACAGAGCCGCAGATTCCAACAAGAACCGCATCCTCAGCCACAGAGCCGCAGATTTCAGCAGGATCTCACGATACCGACTCTGCGCATCTTGCCAGTGGCCCTACACCAGAGGACATTTCTACCAGGCAGGTTCCACTGACCCGCAAGGCAAACCGTGCAAGCAGTCAGAAAATGTCCTTTGTCAAGCGTGTGCTACTTGTCTCCCTCTTTCATTCCTCCGTGTCTGCTTTCATGCAAGCAGGTTGGGAATCCGTGCGCGTCAGACCCACCGAGCTTCTCAGGGACAGCTTTGATGATCTGATTTACAGAGTCAAGCGTGATGACTTCCAGGCAATGTGGGTCGACTTGACAGATCCCAGGCAGTTCGGAGGTGAGGAGCGCCATTCCCAAGTGATGTCTCGACTTACTGTTCTCATGTCATGGGCGTCTGTGTGCCCATATGCGTGGCTGCCGTGCGTCGTGCGGCCTGGAGCCACCCGTCAGTCCAGCAGTTAATGCACAACTACAAGTTTCACGTGAGCTACCACAACTGGTGTGCCTTTGACCTCAAGCTTTCCCCATGCATTGAAGCCAGTGCTGTCAAACACAAGGTGTGCAGCACAGTTCCGTTGCGGAGTCATGAGTGCAGGTGCAAACCGGGCACCGTGCACATGTATGATATCGACTTACCCCGTCAGCCTGGGAGCTCAAAGGTGCGCAGTTCAGCAGAGTGCTGTGTGGTTGCTCACATAGTAGCTGCTCTGGAAGAGGCCCTGCCAAGCAGTGCCATTCCCGAGCCTGCAAGACCTTCCGACCAAATATGCACCACGACAAGTCTTCTTGCTCAGGAGTCGCACGCTGCTCCAAGTACAGGATCGAGCACAGGCCGACAACGTCAGCCACAAGCTGTTGTGTCGGCATCTATGATCACAGCCAGCGACCCTGATGCTCAGTCATGCCCAACTGCTCCTCGCGCCGAGCCGGAGCAAACCTGTGCATTTCCTACAGATCAAAAGCTACAGCAAAAGCAACGCAAACAAGCACTGAAGGCCAAAGGCATGGCTACCATGAGTACGCGTCATCGAAAGCCTGTGGAGCAGCATCATGACGACTGCGGTGAATCACTGTCTTCCCTGAATCTCGAAGTTACCTGTCTGACATGGCATTCGTCAAGTGAAAGTGAAGATGAACGTGCAGATGATGCTGCCGCCTTGACGATGCCCCTGCTAAACTCACTCACGCTGTGGTCGCTTGAAGGCAGTGCATGTGGCCAACCGCCAACACCAGCGCCACATTCAGTCCTTGCAGTTGATGTTGAAGAAATGTTTGCCATTCTGTCATGCCCTGACTACCGACCGTGCGGCATTGAGGTCGTTGAGCTGTGCGGTGGTCGCACGCCAACCTCTTATCTCTGTGTCAAAAGGACCCTGCACTCAGGAAGCAACTTTGAGTTGATTGCTGGAGCTAACTTTGCAGACGATGCAGTGCAGCATAAAGTCTTGTCTTACCTCTCCAGCGCTCAGCCGCTGATTGTCCTCATGACACCGTATTGTAACTCACAGCAGGCCTCCCCGCACAATGCCTCACGTCAGGGTCCCTCAGATGCCAGGTCATCGCAACTAGCGCACTTCTGTGGAAAGGTTGCGCTACATCAACTACAGCAAGGCCGATACTTCCTTGTGGAACAGCCGTTCCCCAGCTCACTTTATCTGTGCCCACCATGGCCACAAGTCCGTGACAAGCCTGATGTTCTGCGAGTTGTCTTTGATCAGTGCATGATTGACCAAGAATCAGGTCGTGCACCCGCCCAGCGCCGTGTGGAGCTGCTGGCCAACTGTGCGGAAGTGCTAACTCCGTTTGCCAACTTGCGCTGTGATGAGGGACATCAGCACATCAGCTCTCAAAGCTGCAATGGCCCGCAAGCGCGAGCTCTGCCGTATCACATGTGCACTCGCCTTGCATTCGGTTTGGAGGGACTGGTGAGAAAACTCAGCAGAGGACCTAAGCCTGAAGTCTCTTCCACTAATCTTGAACACCCTCAGCCTAGCAGCTTCGATCCAACCAGGTCAGCATACCCTTCTGTTGCAACTGGTCCCAGTGATGAAGGTGAAGTCAAGGTTGCTGAAGCCTGGCGAAAATGTAAGGGATGTCTCTGGAGATTGAACAAAAATGATCCACTTCACAGCAGAAAGGAAGGAGAGTGCAAGCATCCACATGCACCATCCCTTCACTTCGACTGCCCAGCATGTAAAAATCATCGAAATCGTGCAGACCCAGGTCACACCTTCGGTCCGGACTGCAGACATGCAGTGACTCAGTCACGAAAGACTGCAGTGCAACGACGACCCTTTGGTCGTGTGCCAGCCAAGGCCGAGCCCACTCAAGCATTACGTCCTTCAAAGGCTCTCACTCAGGCCGAGCGCAGCGCAGCTGACATGCACGACGCCATTCAGCCGGACCCGCATGCAGCTGCATCCGGAGCAAGACAGATGCCATTGGCTGATGACGCCGATGATCCTCAGGCCCCTGCAGCACCAGCCGAGGCAAGAGGCCGTGGCCCCGACATTGAGCCTCGAGTTCGCCGAACCTGGAGTGAAGCTGCAGTGCAGCCTGAGGCAGGTGCTGATTGGACAAGCTTTGACGTGCAAACTTGCATCCGTGGGCTGCGCCACGGCACAGAAGCTGACCGCCGTCGAATCCTCCGAAAGCTTCATCTCAGATGGTTTCATTGCAGTTCGGATCGCATGCAACGACTTCTTCGGGCAGCAGGCTTGCCGAAAGATGTCTGCGACCTTGTCCCCGCCATCAATGACACATGCCGTGTCTGTCAGCATTGGGCTCGCCCTGCAACAGAGACCAAAGCGAGCAACAGGATGGTCTTAGGCTTCAACATCGAAGTCGAAGGTGACATCATGTTCTGCAAGCTGCGTGGTGTTCAACACGCCATTCTGGTGCTTGTCGACCGAGGAGTACGTTGGACTTCAGTTGGTCTCCTGCCCAGTCGCCAAACGACTGATCTGCTTAGCAGCATTGACAGAACTTGGATTGCCATTTTCGGACCAATGCAGGTCCTTGTCTTTGATGGCGAGAGCGGATTGGACGATGATGAATCCTCAGCCTACTTTGCCATGCGAGGAATAACAAAGAGAACGTCAGCACCAAATCAGCACACTCGGATTGCCGATAGAAAGATTGCCATTCTCAGAGACACAATCCACAAGATTGGCACCCAGCTGCAGGAAGAAGGCATGACGATCCCCTTTGAACGCATCATGTATGATGCTGCATTTGCCTTAAATGCCCTTACGTCCATCAATGGGTGTTCCCCGTACGTTGCTGTGATGGGTCGGCAACCTGCCTTGCTACCTGCCGATGACATGGCACTTCCCGATGCAGTGCCAGACATTATGTCCCGTCACACGCACCGATTGCGTGAGGTGGCTGTCCAAGCCATTGCAGAAGGTACTGCACGTGAACGTCTGAAGCGTGCTTTGAAAACCCCAACAAAGCCCGCAGCAGAGGAGTTTGAATTCAAGGTAGGGCAGCCTGTTGATTACTGGAGAGAACCGGTTTCCAAGGACGTTTCAGGTTGGAGAGGCCCGGCCACGATCACTGATCTCACGCGCCTGTCCCATGGTCGCATCGGAGTGCGAACAAGCGCCGATCAGATGATAACGTGTCGTGTTCAAGATGTCCGGCCTAGTTTAACATATCTCTCTGAAGAACTAAGCGCATTCTTTGGGGTACCAGACTTTGCATCGCCTGTGCACAGCCAAGCAGGACAGGCCCAACAACATGCTCAAGCTGTTGTGGACGCATTGCGTACTGGTACAGTTCTGAGCTTGGGTCATATCAGGACTGCTGATGGCACATGGGTTGAGACTCCAACAACCCCACACCACCGTGCAACCTACCAGGCTTGCATGTTTCTGGCCGAGACAGTATTCAATCTTGAGTCTGTAACTGCTGTCCGCCTTGCAAAGGGAGTGCGTACCCTGACCCATCGTGAAGAGTTCAGTATGACTCTGAGTTTGTGGTGGACCACACATGGGTCCAGACAGATCGAGTTCATCCACGCTGACAGTTCCAAGATGTCAATCGTTGACCTTTGCGGGCAAGAGTGGAACAACGTTCGCATAATTCAGTTCTTGTGCGTGCCAGGAGCCGAAGAGTGGGCAACAAGCCAACGGTGGTCCGAGCCACCCATTCTTGACCAAGGCCAGGATGCAGAAGGAGCACCGGATACAGACCAGGCATCACGCCTTTCCACCATTCAGGAAGGTTCAACTGAAGATGGGAGCTCTGAGGCCCCAGCCGAAGCTGCGATCAGTATGCATGCACTGTGCGAAATGTTTGGTGATTCCATTCCACCTCAGCATGTGCAAGCCCTTCGTGAAGCATATGCAGCTGTCACGACTGAGCCAGCTCCGACCACAGTTGAACGTGACAGTCTGAAGGCTTTGAGGGCTGCCGACTGTCAGACTTGTGATCCTTCCGCAGAAGTGCCAGCTTGGAGTGATGCCAATATGCCTGAAGCTTGCTATCTGCTCACGGAAGAGCAGTTGTCAACAGCCCTGGCCGATTGCAGTAACGAATACGTAGCCCTCGACGCAGACGACACTGGAGCCTATGTGGCTTTGGAAGCATACGGCGATGCCTGCAAGTTGGTTGAAGGCTTATCTCGCTTGCCCAATGCCGATGAGCACGTTGAGATTCGCATGTATGAGTCGCATACGCGAAAGGCTGTCATTGAAAGGTCCGACGACATTCTGACAGCCGATGAACAACGTGAGTATGCAACCGCTGTTACTGAAGCCATAGTGCGCGAGCTGAAGACGTGGGAAGGTTACAAATGCTTTGCCCGTCGACCACGAGCTGAAGCACCCTGCGTTATCGATGTGCGTTGGGTCTTCAAGTGGAAGATCATAAAAGGGGTTCGCACAATACGTGCGAGACTGTGCCTACGTGGGTTCAAAGAGACTGGTGCCGATGACCAGTCAAATTATGCCGCCACTGCAGCTAGGTTCTCGCAGAGACTCATTGCCAGCGAAGGAGCACTGCGGCAGTGGGTTATTGCTTCTGCCGATGTTCCGAAGGCCTTCCTTCAAGGTGTCAGCTACAAGGAGCTATCGGAGGAAACGGGTCGTCCGATGAGGGATGTGTCCTTCGAGCTTACTGGCGAAGCATTGCGGTGCCTACAGCATCTACCAATGTTCAAGGGCTTTGATGCGCGTCATGAAGTCTTACATTGCTTGAAGCCCGGCACTGGTTGCCGGGATGCGCCGAAGTGTTTTTCCATCAAACTTAAGAAAGTTACAGCTTCCTTTGGTCTCGTCAGCAGCAGCGTGGACGCTGAATTGGAATTTCTGTTTGATGATGGAAATCGACTCCAGATGGTGTTGGTCAAGCACGTTGATGATCTAAAGATGATTGGGGCAAAGGAAACCATTACCCGATTTGTGCAGCATCTGTCTGCAACCTTCGGGCCAATGGAGATTGAGTGGGGCTCATTCACTTTCTGCGGGGTGAAGCACACACAACGTGACGACATGAGCATTTCTCTTGATCAGATGAAGTTCTTGAGCGCATGTAAGCCAATTGTCCAGCCGGCAGCTCTATCTGGAGGACCGGAGCAGTTGCTTCCAGAAGGTGCTCGGAGGCACTTCTTGAGCCTCCTTATGACATTGGCGTATGGCTTGTTAACACGTCCCGACATCTCGGTGTTCATTGCAGCACTGCAAAGAGAATCCCATCAAGCTAAGGTTATTCATGTGAAGCGCCTGAACCTTTTGCTCAAATGGGTCCAAGCAAATCCCCGCTGCTTGAACTACCCCGTCATGCCGTATCCCGACATGTTGCTTCAGATTTCAGATGCAGCTTTCAAGGCAAAGGCTACTGATGGTTTGTCGATGAGAGGCTTGATCAGTGTGCGAGTGAACTCAGCTGATGTTGAGTCGGGGAAGCAAAACATCCAGTGCCACTTGGTTGATTTTGCAAGCAAACAGCAGCGTCATGTGACACGCAGCACATTTTCTTCTGAATTGTTTGCTGCCACCGATGCTACAGATGCTGGTCTTGTCAACACCGTGACAATCCATGAGATGAACAATGGAGTATTGTCTTTTTGTGACGCGAGACATGTCATTGAAGGCAGCAAGCCCTGTTCAGTCTTGCTTGGCTTGGTTTTGGATGCCCGTTCAGTTACAGCTGCCACAGTCGCAGCACACGTCAAGGTGCCTGCTGAGCCATCTTTGCTATTGCACGTTTGTTGGATACGAAATCTTCTTCAAACAAAGAGATTGCATCGACTGTACTGGTCAGACACGCGAAGCATGACTGCCGATGGAATGACCAAAGGCAGTGTGGGAAGAGAGCAGATTATGTCAGCGATGAGCGGTGAACTGCAAATCTTGCAGCCCTACGAGATTCAGCAATTGCAGTAGCTTGAGACAACTTTGTTCTCTCACTGCAAGACCTTCCGACTAAATATGCAATTTCCCAGGGAGACAGTCAGCAGAGTGGAGCTCGCTGATTCGCCGTAGCACTTGTGATCGATCAGGTTAGAGCGTTGAAGTAGCAAAAAGAGCCCATCATTCCGTGAGTCAAACTTTTCTCGAGCTGGGGACATCAGAGCTAGAGAAAGGGTTCTGGAGGGCGCTAACCTGTATTGACAGGATTAGGGGGCTTTGCTGGGTAGAGCTTATAAGTAGAGTTTTAAGTGCGTTGGTTGGGGAGACGTCTCGTTGGCAGTGCCCGGCTACCGTCTGCACGCACTGAGGTGACCACGATGTAGAGAAAAACCCAGAACACGTATCCTGCCAGTAAGTGGCATAAGACAGGACGCTGTTGAAGGGTTTTATGTTATGAACTGGAGACGGTGAAGTTTAGAAGCCTTTTGGGGCGGAAGGTTTTCCGCTCTATGGAATCTCTCGGAAAGCTGGACAGAAGAAGGTTGAACTTCTGGTCCTGCTTGGAGACCGTTGCGGGAGACTTGCAAAAGAAGCACGACGTTCACGTGGAAAGGCGTCTGCCGCAAACCCAAACTCCCCAAGAGCCTGAAAAATCACAAACCCTAAAGCCCTAATGACCCTGCCACATTCCATGAAACCCTGAAGCCCTAAAACCCTACACCCTGAAACCCTGCAACCCGAAAAGCGTAAACTCCGAGCCCCTAAACCCTAAGCCCCTAAACCCTAAAGCCCAAAGTCCCACAACCTGAAGAAGCCCTATTCGCCAAACCCCCCCCCCCCCCCCCCCAAAGTGCCGCTCTAAACTCCTCCGCCCTAAAGTCCTGAACCCCAAACCTCAAACTTTGGGCTTCATCCCTGTTGCGACTGACGGCTGAGGGTTAAGAGTAAGTAGCCTTTAGGCTTTTGTGGCGGGGGGACTATAATCCCTATATACGCCCACATGTTTTCCTTGAGTTGCCTCGGATACTGGACACCCCTAAACCCCAAACCCCTACCCCTAAACCCTAAACCATAGCCGCCCCTAAACCCTAAACCCAACTTCGGCTCAAAACCCACCGAGGACTCGTCGGCAGTGAGAGGACAGGGTCCACATATCCCAGCCATAAGAAAGGCTGCGTGGAGTCTGAAATCATCAGCAGTCGAGGTTTCCCGGTTCAGGACCAGACCGTAGAGCCAACAACAGCATTGGTAATACTGTTCCTGAGGCTAGGATGCCCAGTAGTACCCTTATTCCCCTTTGGTAGTCCTAGGTTCCTTATAAAAGTTACCCAATACCAAAAAGAGAGGCCTTTTTATTCTTAGGTTACTGGGTATCCTAGATTGGTAATGGTGTTCCCGAGGGTTCCTGACTATAGTGCAGGTATCCGTACTCTCTTCTCACCAAGACTCCTTTTGCATTGGGTTAGACCCAAGAGTTGAAGGTAGAAATTGTCCAGCCTCGAGTTTGCTCGCCTTGGTCCTTTGCGGTTAATATAGGGGCCTAAATAATTACCTTTTCTATTGTGGGGGGGCTCCTTAATATAATTGTAGTGTAAAGGGCCCCAAAACCCAATTATTAAGGCCCCTATATTAGGGTTTACGCCCTTTTGGTCCCCGTTCTCCCTAGATTACACCTCCAACCTCTGGTTCTACATCCCGAAGCTCTACAAAAGGGCCCCATAACTTACCAGTACTGTTCCGTAAGGCTGCCGGGAAACTTAGAATGTAACCTGCCATCAAGCCCTATCCCAACTATTAAGGGCTCCTGTACTATCTGTCTTAAGAGGACTCTGCGTGGAACGTTGGGGGGGACGCCGCTGTGAGTAAATCTGGGTCTCTGAATCCGAGCAGAAAGTGTTCCACACCTCCTGAGGACCCGGGATTTATAGTGCTTACCTGTGGCCCCCAAAGCCTACCTTTTGAAGGACATGTATGTATGCATAATTGCATATGTATATGTAAATGAATGTATATGTATATGTATATACGTTCATATGTCGAAACAAGACTTTGTGGCCTTAGCCTCCTGGTGATCTATGCACGCTAGTCACCCCCTTTTCTCCCGAAAGCACTTCGGCTGGACATGATGCCCGAAGGCTTTGATAGGCCCACATGACCGGGAGAGAGAGAGAGAGAGGGAGAAAAAAAGAGAGAGAGAGAGAGCGAGAGAGAGAGAGGGAGAGAGAGAGGGAGAGAGAGAGAGAGAGAGAGAGAGGAAGAGAGAGAGAGAGAGAGGGAGAGAGAGAGAGAGAGAAGAGAGAGAGAGAGAGAGGGAGAGGGAGAGAGAGAGAGGAGAGAAAGAGAGAGAGAGAGAGAGAGAGAGAGAGAGAGAGAGAGAGAGAGAGAGGGAGAGAGAGAGAGAGAGAGCGAGAGAGAGAGAGAGAGAGAGAGAGAGAGAGCGAGGGAGAGAGAGAGAGAGAGAGAGAGAGAGAGAGGGAGAGAGAGAGGGATAGAGAGAGAGAGAGAAAGAAAGAGAGTGCATAAGGATCCCCAGAAAGGTAGGTTTTTTCGGCTACAGGTAAGGTTTAGTAACTACGTCGGTGTTACAGATGAAACCCTAATGCCAGTCATCCGCTGCCTTCCCTAATGTAGGAGTGGCTCCTAACTGTAAGGCTCGGGTGGACGACGCTTAGTTTTGTTGCTGTTTGATGTATGGCTTCTGTTTATTGGTGAGTTTCCGGGGCTGGGTAACTATCCTGTCACCTTTTGGGGCACCTGAGTTCGCGCCAACACCATAATGCGAAGGTGAACCTTTGTTGGGCTAGGAAACATAGGCCCTGAACACTAGGGCTTGGGGGTTTGGGGTTCAGGGTGACTTTGTGAACTTAGTTCTCCAATACCCAACGTTCCAACTTGTTGAAGAACGGAACTGTTGTTGAGTATGCCTTAAGATCCTATGTACACTTTGCGGGGAGGCTCAAGGCACGCCGTATATTCTGGCATGATTCTGGAAGTCGGCTCGTGCATGCCCTGACATATCGGGGGCTAATTAGGTAAGACAGCCAAAAGCTAGCACAGGGCATTCTGAGTTGTGGGGTTTCAGGGTTCAGGGTCCAAGCGGATTCGGAGTGTTGCATCTAGGTCTTCGGGTTGTTTAGGCGGTATGGTTTTGGTGTTAGTCTTATGGGTAGTCGTCAAAGTTATGGTCCCATTTTGGGTACCCTAAATATTAGGTGCCGTATTATGATAGGGACCCAAAAAGGGACCATAATTTTGACAACCACCCTTATGTACGTAGATATGCGAAGATGAACAAACCACGTCACCCGAGAAGATCAACGAGAAGGAAGCCTGTTCCTCAGATTTTTCTGCAACAAGGCATCTATTGACTAATGATACTAATATTAATAGTAATAGTAAGAATTCTAATAACAATACCAATGATAATAATGATAATAGTAGTAATAATAATAATACTAATGATAATGCGAATAACAATAATAGCAGTAATAATGATTTTCATGAATAGGGGTTTACAGTGCATTGGCCTTTGGGATTGCAGGGGGTAAACCATCGTTCTCGATTGTGCTACGGTGTTTCCTTCTGTCATTTTCCTTACCAGGTCCAAATACCCTCCCCTTGGTAGCTGAGTAGGTAACCTTTACCTGTTTTGGGTTTGTAAAATCCTCCCATAATTTTGAAAAGATCAACCTTTTGTGGGCTAGGGTACCAGCCCCCAAGTCCTTGTAGCGAAATACTCAGCTCGCTGCTGGAAGTCTACTTCGGGTTCCTCAAAGTTCTTCCGGGCTCTGCGTGGAGGATCATTGGACCATGTAGCTAAAATTGTTGCCCTCATGCATGACACACACATCACTAGCACAAGCCACGAGGACGCTCTAGATTTCTTAGCTGCTGCTACGAAGACAGAAGTTCTACAACGCCAGCCTAGATCCCATGCGGCTAAAGCCCTAAAGTCCTAAAGGCCCTAAGCCCCCAACCCCCACAACCCCTTAGCTAAGACACAAATGCTCGGAGTCCGTATAGCCCCGCGCGTACAAAGCCAGAGCGCGGGCAGCCCGAGTCCGAGCAGGGGACCGGCTTTTTGTCCCCAAGACATTAATCTCGAAACCTGGACGTAATGCTGCCGAAACACTGGCTTCGACAGCAGTAGCAATACCATCCACGTAATTATCGTCCGACAGTTCTTGACAAAAGTATCCCTTGTGTCATTTTGACGACCCCGTCACTAAAACGTGACAAACCCCATTAGACGCCTGCCCCCCACATCCCCTGTTTAGATCCTTATCGAACCCCACTAAACCCCTAGACACCCAAACCCAGCCCTTGAACCCTAAACCCCATTAAGACCCTAAACCCCAGTAAGACCTTATAAACATAATTAATCTCGCCCCCAACATCCCCTTCTTAGATCCCGCCATAAATCCCCCAAGCCCCAAAGCTTATTAAGACCCCCAATATCATCCCCGTTTTAGATCCCCCCACAAAACCCCCAAACCCTAACCCTTATTAAGAACCAATATTGACATCACGAGACACGGCCGCTGCTCGGGTCATTCTAAGAACTCTGCAGGAGAGCGAGACACCAGCCCAGGGCAGTGATTTGAGGGTTTGGGGCTTAGGGCTTAGGGGTTTAGGGTTTCGGGGTGTTGGGGCTTAAGGCTTAGGGCTTAAGGGTTTAGGGGTTAGGGGCTTAAGGCTTAGGGGTTAGGGTTCAGGGTTAGGGGTTCGAGGATGGTTTTGTTTGGAAGCAAAGGTCTAGGTAGCTGTGCGGGGGTATGACTGCTGACTATTCGGAACAACGCTTGGGAGGGGTTTTCAACTTCCTCGGGTTGATCCTCGCGGCTCCTTGTTACCACTGTTCAATTTTGGCCCAACACAATATAGGTATTGAGGCCCCTTCGTACGTATTGGCGCTTTTTAAGCCCGGCTGATGCTCCAGAGTCGAAGGGGCTTTAGGCCGTAAACGGGTGTGTGTGTGTGTGGGGGGGGGGGGGGGGGGGGGAGATAGGGTTCCCAGAGACTTCCATGT